CATTTCTAAGTTTAAGTTGAGGTATGAGAATTACTGAAATTAAAACGGTAATTGTGATGATTATGGCTAACAGATATGAAAACCTTTTCACAATATTCTAATTTTGACTTTGGGGTTTTCATAAGCTGTAAACCATAATCATCACAATTATAACAAATAAAGGCTTGAAATATCTCACTTTGCATGTAATGAGTCTATATAATATATTAGTTTCACCTTTTAAGTTGAATTACTGAAATACATGAACTTTTGCACCATATTCTAGTTTTTCGACTTTCACCTGTAAATATATATATTTATACTACAGGGCTGTTGAATGCTTGATTCTGATTGGTTGAATTATTTTCAGGGAAACGCACGGCTAAAGTAGTTCCAGGCAGGTTTGACCGCATTACAGTTCCATATCACTGCGCATAGTTAACCGTAATAACGGAAAATAGGATACAATTCATAACAAGAAAATGCGCTTGATCTGCCATTTTCGATGTCTAACTTCACAATCAATGGACACATACAGTTTAATTTTAATAAATAAAGTATGTAGTCCTATCTATAGGCTAAATAGAAAACTAAATTGAATAGGCTATATAAATAAATTGATAGTCCTGCTGGGTTTTCGTAATTATTCCAGATAATATAACAAATAAATAAATATCGATAGGCCTACTTGTTAAAAGGGCTTTGTGTGTTTCATTTATTGGGTTATCTACTGTCAATTATAGAAAACAAGAATGAACGAATTAATTAAAACGAATTTAATTAATAAATAAATAATATTGACGCACATGCTTTTCTGTCTCATTATTGCAACATCTCTCTCTCTCACTCACTCTCTCTCTCTCTCTCTAATAACGGCATTAATAACTGCATAAAGCCTCTAAAATGACGAATTAGCAACGGAGGCATGGGATTAGATGCGTAAGAAATTAGCCCTACATACAAGAGCGTTTTAATGACAAAAACTTGACAAACGTCTAGAAATGCATCATCTGAACAATGTTTCGAGGTGTGGTAACTGTAGTATAAGCGGAATAATTGACGACAGGCCGTTGAATTATTAGAAAAATAATGCACACCCGAGGTGGTAATGCGGTCCCGACGTCAAGCGGAGTCGTCAATTATTCCTTACATATATAATTTAAAAGCATCAAGATTTTAACCCTCTATTGCATGAAATATTAATTAGACATGGTAAAAAATGTTTTGCATGTTTTTATTACTTAAAATGAGCTAAATAACAGATAAATTAAAAAAAAGCAAAAAAAAAGTTTAAAGTTTAAAAGTTGGTAAATTGTTGCCGTATGGCAACAATATGCAATTGTGGAAAGTACCATAAAATCCACATTTCTTTTAAAAAAACTCATTTTATTTAAAACAAGACTCAACAAATCCATCTCATACTTGGTGCAATGTTTAAACAAACATTTATACAGTAAAAACATTATATAATTTCAACAATTATCTGAAATGTCTGGTAATAATAACCAGGAACCTGGAACCTGTCTCACTGAAATACACTGTATTCATTCGTTTCATTTAGTCAGTCATTTTTTGCTTTATTGAATTTCATTCTCTTCATGCCTTGTGAAAGTCAACAAAACAGTTCCTCTTTACAGTGAAGCAGAGGAAAACTGCACACTTGGAGCACTTGCTTCTCACAATGCCCTTGCATCCTGGCATTTTGCATCTGCCCTTCTCAGATGCATGCAAGGGCCAGTGGTCTGTGCGGTCTCTGCGGACAGGATCTGGCGGGACAAAGCTTTGGGGCCCGCTTTTATTTTTCCCCACCACAACAGCTTGTGAAGGTCTCCTCTTCCTCTTGTTTCTCACCTTGCTCTCCATGCACAAGCATGAGGCCACTTGGATTTTGAAGTCCAAACAGTGGGAGATGGGCAATCTCTGGCATCTTCTACTTCCCATAGAAGTAGCTTAGATGCATCTTTTATGGAGAAAATGGGATGATATGTTACAGATAACCTACAAAATAGCTTAAATCACAAAATATAAAACATTATAATGTTTTACCTTTAAAATATAAGCAAAAGTTGTAAACATAGTCTCAGAGTAGTTTCATGTAAGTCAATGGGACTCCATTAGGTTGAATGCACCAGGACGTTTCCATATTTGCATGTAGTTGCCATATGGCAACAAATGTATTTTAGCATATTACAAAAAATTTATAAAATCAAAACTGAATTTAATGTAAAAAAATTAACGTTTACTTACCCCAGATAGTGATGTCAATTTTTTATTTGATGAAAACTTTTAAAAATTCGGAATAAAAGGCTATCTTGGGGAGCCCCAGACAGTGATGTTTCCATGTCAATGTCCATGAGCAAAAAGCAATGGCAAACAGGATATCCTGGTCATGTGACCTCATAAATTGTATTTCCTTCAAAGTAAAAACCCCCTTTTCACAACTAACTGTAGAAACATAGATTTTATATCACAGCTTTTTAGAAAATTAAGATAAAGTAATTGTTGCCATATGGCAACACTATGCAATAAAGGGTTAAAATGTATTTCATAGCATATAAAGAGCAATTTCTTGACAGTAAAATATTCATATCCAAGCATAACTACAACCAACCTACGAGTGATTTTGATGTGTGTGTGTGTGTGTGTGTGCAGAGAAGAAGCCGAAAGCGAAGCAAGAGAAGCCGGCTGATTCCCATGATGCCGTGTCGGATCTGTTTGCTCAGATGCGTCTTCAGACGGACACTGATCCAGATGCCGGACTTACCCAGAAACCACCACAACCTGAGATCCCAGAGATCCCAGTCCAGCGCTCTCCGCCTTCCCAGAATTCCCCTTCCGAGTCGGCTCTGATTGGCCAGCTGCATCTCAGCACTATCGACTGGGATTCTTCCTCGTTCACGGCCTCTCCTGACCCGAGATCTGCGGAAAACTCAACTCGCTCTCTCAAAGACCGGATCATGATGAAAAACTGTCCTGAACCGATCCGTTCAATCCCATCAGCTCCGTCTGCAAACCCAACGCAGAATCCCACCGGGAAACCTGCAGAGAAGGTGTGTAAGAGTGTGTGTACGACGAGTGTGTGTGACAGCGACGCGGAGAACCGACCCGGATCACCGAAGCCCCGGAGCAAAGTCAAGGTCAAATCCGACAAAATTACCCAGAAATCCGACAAAATTACCCATAAATCCATCGATATAACCCAGAAATCTGACAAAATCACCCAGAAATCCGACAAAATTACCCATAAATCCATCGATATAACCCAGAAATCTGACAAAATCACCCAGAAATCCGACAAAATTACCCAGAAATCCATCGATATAACCCAGAAATCCGACAAAATTACCCAGAAATCCGACAAAATCACCCATAAACCACCCATTGATGACCAGATGAGGATTAAAACCCCCGAAAAAGAGTCATTCAGACCGGCGAGCCGTATCCAGGTGCATCATGGGACGCTTGAGGAGGAGGATTCGGACGCTTCGGTGGACAGCCCTCGACCGCTGGCTGAGAGACTGAAGATGAGATTTGCAAAGTGAGTGATGAAGCACAAGTGACACTGGGAATAATGTTTAACATTTAAATTTGTGAATAAATGTGTGTTTTTTTAATTATGTGTGCCTTTTATTCTTTTTATTTTTTACTTTATTATGATTTTCTCCACATAAACAAAATACATCACACTATTACAGATACCATTGAAATATCACATGTGTGTATTTATAGTCTTTAGCAAGTATAATAATTCTGTCTTAGGACAAAAACAGAACAAGGTTAAAGTTAAGAAGTAATAAAAAGGAGATATACAATTATGGATCTGTCATATGATGCAAATTATGTTCAAACGCATGAATTCAAAATAATGAAAGGAGAAAACAAAATAATAGCATTTATTCTGTGTATATTTATTCGAATTAGCCGTTATTTGTATATTTTTAGTTTCATTTTGGGTTAGTATTCAGTCATTCCCTATTAAATTAAAGTGCATCGTTGCAATAGGCACTTTATTAAAAAGCACAGATTGCCGTAAAGCACAAAACGTCCTCTCGGCTGAAAGAGCTGGTCAGAATAACATCAGGATAAAGTAACAGTGTGGTCCTAATAAGGGCATAAACGCCTGCACTTCCTCAGGCCTTGATCATGAGTGACAGGTGTCACACCTTCCCAGACATGAAAGATCTGACAGCTGCGACACACACACACACACACACACACACACATGTCAGACATAAAATTCATCAAGGAGTTACACATGGGGGAATTCAGAAATCATTCAAGAATGTGTTTTAATAGCGTTAAAGAGTGCTGGACATTTGTTGGAAACAACAAACATTTAATTTAATAATAAATGTTAATTAAAATAAATGTTAAAAATTACATATAGACTATATATATGTTAGATTTAAATGTTTTTTTGGATTTCTCTTTATCACTCTAAATCAGAAAATACTGTCAACAGACAGAAAAAAAATACATTTTCACCTTTTTTTTATGAATAAAACGTATAAAAACAGGCAAATGATATAAGAAACAAACCTTTCAGTGAAATTATCTCTCTCTCTATATATATATATATATGTATGTGTATATATATACATTAATTTCCCCTTATAAATTATATATATATAGATATTTAAAGTAAAATGTAAAAATAAATATAGAAAACTTTATTTTATTTCAGTTATTTGCCAACCTAATTTCCATTTTAGTTCAAGTTGAAGTACTTTTAACTTGTTCTCATAATTCTAAACTCATAAAAATCGTTCAAATCAGGGCAGCATTCTTTGCACTTATTATTTGCCATTAATATTTACCATTTCTTATAATAAAGAATGACTGTCCCCAACTCTGCAGTCATTACCATCAGCCAAGTATATATATTTGGGGAAAAATAATGTATGTTTTTATCTGCACAATTTAAAAAACACACAAGGCCATGATAAGATGAGGTTTTATTTTTCACGATGTGTAAAAGTGTCTCTTCCCAATGAAACTATGTTAATTATAAGTGCCGCATCTGTGAAGTTTGTGTGATTCTCTGAGCTTTTGCGCGCGTCTGATCGCATCAGTCTGCTAAGTGCCGCCGTGTCGACTTAAAGACTCATTTCCCACAAAAGGGAATCTAATTATTTTCTTTTCACTTACACATTATCCGCCAACATCGCCTTATTCGCACCCGGGTGTCAAGAAGCGCGCGCGTCCCTCGGTCTTCTGCGCATGCGCGCGTCTCTCTTTGAACCTCGCGCTCGTAAAGTTCTCGGGGTATAAAAGAGACGTTTTGTCACACAGGATAGATAGATGGATAAGCTGAACGAAGACATGGCGCGGATCGATGTCGATGTGTACACGGCCAAAGTTTTGTCTCAGTGGGACTGGAGCAGAGAAGAAGAGGACCGGGCGTTTGGCGACTCTTGCAGCGCGTCCTCGCCGGAGTCCGCGTGCTCGTCCCCGGACGCGCGCTCCAGCAATAGCGGAGGATGCGAGTCGCAGCTGAAGCCCAAAGTGAAGATGAGCGTGAAAAGGAGAATGAAGGCAAGCGAACGGGAGAAGCTGCGCATGCGCAGTCTTGCGGAGGCTCTTCATCAGCTCCGGGATTACCTGCCACCGGTGTACAGTAGGAGAGGACAACCGTTAACCAAGATACAAACCCTCAAATACACCATTCAGTACATTAAAGAACTCTCCAGCATCCTCGACCAGCAATCTGCGCATGCGCGGCGCTGACGGGACCAACGGTCAACGACGGCTCTCTCTGTGTTGTGTAATTTGATCTGGTCACGTCAAACACATGATCAGCGTGTAACTCCGTGGAGCAGCTTGTAGTTTGTCAAGCTACAGCTTCAAAATAATTAGCTTTGAAGGAGCTTGCTACACAAAAAAATGTGTCATTTTACTCACACTAGCCAGACCACCAACAGAGACCGGAAGTTAACTTCAGGCCAGACGCGTAACCGTGGCAACGCGCGTGAGTCTGATGAAGCCGTCTATAAAGAACCTTTTGTGCAATGGAACGATTCTAATGGATGTTAAAAATTCGCCCAGCTATCAGGGAATGTTCCCACAACTTTCACTTTTCACTGTTAAGATGATTTTTATTATGTTGTTTTACCTGAATAACGTTCTCTTAAAGGGACAGTGCACGCAAAAATGAAAATTCTTTATGTTATTTGTACTCGACGAATGTTCTAAGAATGTCTTAAGGGTTATGAGAATGTGATCGTAACGTTTTTAAACTAAGCAATTGAAACGTTTTAGAAACAATGCAAATCACTGTTTCCATATTTTTTTCTTTTTTTTAGAACATACATTTGTTAGCTGGTTATGCCGATTACAGAATCTTTATTTTTTTTTATTTTAGGTTGCTTTTGTACAGATTTTTATTTTTCTGTTTGTTTGTTTATCCACTCATGTTTTACTGATGTAAATATTTCTTGCTGATGCTTGAGTGGAATGTCGATGTCTAATATTAAGAGTGTCTTTTAAATTTAAATAGCTGAATAAACATCTTGTTCGTGTTGATGTAAACTGGTTTTTGTACTTCATGTCAAGATAAAAGTACATTTGAAACTAAAACGTTCAAATATGGGTGACTTTTTTATGTATTTTTTTTTTAATTAAGAAATCCGAAAAATGTAAATAAGATGGCATTAAATTTACAGACAACTTACTCAATATAACAAGGGCTTAGACACAATAAGATAAGTAAAAATAAAGAAATATATCAAATAAATAAAGCAAGAAAATATCTGCACAGTTTCTAAAGTAAAAGATAAATAACCCTTCTAAAAACTAAAACCTCCATAACCTCCATTTTTAGTTTTTGAGCCACTTTTAGACATTGTGCCACAAGACTACAAAAATGAGAGATAAAAAAAAATCTACATTTGTGGATTAAAAATGTTTAGCAATAAAACCTATTTTTAATTTTTTTTATTGCATAACAGAACAATAACAACATCACAATGTATTCAGCTATCCTCTATTACATTAATAATAGCATAAAAACGAAACAGAATAAAAGAAAAAAGAAAAGAAAATTCTATACATCCGTTTTGCTTTTTTATTTCTTACTTCTTTTAAGGCCTCAATATAATGCTTGAGTTCAATTTTAAATAATATAATGTTAGGTTTATTATTAGTCAATTTCTGTTTGTGTATGTGGTATTTTCCATACATATTAAGTTAATCACCGAATTTGTTCCAAACACTTACTTTTATATAACAAAATGATATCTTAATATAATTTCAGATTTTCAGATATCTACCAGATAGTCGAATCTTTACATTTGCGAATTTAAATATTAGATGTTCAATATCAATCCAAAACAATTGGGTAAATACACATTAAAAAAATAAATGTTTTATGCTTCTTCTTCTAAATTACAAAAGACGCATTTAGTCTCCCTGTTGTCTCACTGGGTAAATCAAATTAATAATTTTATATATAAATTCTTTAATTTTATTGGTTAGACAGTATTTACTGGGTAAACTCCAGACCTCTTTCCAATCAATCTAGTTAAATATATCGAGTTCCAAAAAGGTTTGCATTTAGACAATAATGTAGTTCTACATCATTTTCTAATACAAAAGTTATCAAATGTTGTATCTATAATTTTCACACCATTAATACTTAAACGATTAGTATATAACAGGATAGATTCAGGAGATATATTGCCTGATAAAAGTTTAGCATTAAAACCTGTTTACGCACAACAGCGATTATCATGACGTATTTCTTGCGACAAGAGCACTGGCCAATCACAGCGCGCCTGTCTTCGGTGTGGGCGGGGCCTCGCGGTACAATGACGCTCTGACAAAGAGAATCAGCGCTCGATGTGACGGTGCGGCGCGGGCCGCCATTTCAAAGCCGAATAAACGCGCGAGGTTTCACGATTTAATTGACGGATGCTTATTTTTTTTAGAGTACAGTGCATAACACTTTATATTTTTAAGGCTCGTTGTTTAGAAGAGCTCTCAATCTCATAAGGTAAGTCACGGAAGAAGCGCTGTGAGCTCGAAATAGAGCGTGTGAGTGTTTAATGTCGGTGAGGCGAGCCGTTAAATCACACAATCGCCTTCGCTAACGTTAATTCTATTGAATAAGATTTATCTAGTTGTAAATATGTGAGAGGTCATTGTTTATTTGTGTCCTCGGCTGATGATGTCGTTCAGCTGCGATTATGGAGACAGAATGACTTTTTAAGCCTACAGTAAATCTCTGAATGTGTGAAATTAATGAATTAAGAGCTTGTTAATCGTAGTAAAAGCATCAAATTTATGTTATTTTGTGGGCCTAAACACACTTTCAGTAACAATAATCATCATATTCATGTATAATAACATCATAAACACCGAGTAAATACATGATTTTATAGGATCCTTTAAATTCCATATACTACATAGGAATATTTAAATAGAAAAATGGACCATATACACTCAGGGGTGTATGCAAATTTACATAGAAATATTAAAATAGAAAAATGGATTATATTGCTTGCCGATATAACGTGCACTCAGTGGTGTATGCAAATTTTATCCAATAAATGCTCTCAGCTTTGAGAAACTCCTCCTCCTACCAATATCAGGTGGCAATTCAGGGTGTAAATTAAAGCCTAATTAAAATATAAATTATTTATAAATATATTTGATATGCCCTGCCTCAAATTCCCGAAATTTCTCGAGGTCTACGATGAGCCATGAACTGTTAAAATGATCTGTTTCTCAATATCTTGAGATGTTTTCTCTCATGGATCGTTTCCATTAGCAAAATCTTCTGCAGTTTCTTTAGAGATGCTTCATTTTACAGTCGGCCGTGTGCGTTCACACTATTAATACACGGCTTGTGCCCTGAAATCCCCGTGGCCCAGATCAGCTGCTTATATCCCAGCAGGCCGTGCGATGACGGAGGTTCTGGCATGTTAAGCTCATCGTGTGGCGTCCATGTGCTTCCCGAGGCGAGAGGCCAAAGGAATACCGTCAAACATTTGACATTGGCGCTTGAATCTGGATTTGGGTCAAAGGTGAAGGTTTTAGGACTGGTGTGAAGGCAGATGATGTTATGTGTTCATAGTGTTTGCTGCTGTTATATGCGACTGACAGGCATCAATTCTCAGCATACACTTAAAAAGCACCAATATTTTCCAGATGGAAGCCGAAGCGGAGCAGGTGGAGGAGACGACAGAAGTGATGGAGGCCACAGAAACACCCTCGCAAGAGGAGCCTTCGTCTGACAACAAGTTCAGGTAGGTCACATGACCAAAGCTTCTACTGTCATTGGTTATTCTCATCCACCTATTTTCCATCCACCTATTTTTATGCACATTTTTGGGATGTCGCATATAAAAAAGCTGGATAGAAACATAAAATGTGCTTTATAAAAACGTATGTGCTCAATTGACCCATCGCAGGGAGTTTGATTGACAGGCGATCTGACCAATCATAATCCGCCGAATCCGCCATTTTTGTCCGACAAAGCAGTCAGGAGAGTTAGTAGATTAACGTTGGAGGATTTGAACCACGTCTTTCCGTGGTTAAAACAATGTTCCTTCATATGTTCATTCATGTTTATTTCACGAGCAGCTTTAACTGAGGCTCTAGCGATCTGTCAGACACATTAAACAGCCACAAAACGGTATTTATTGTTTAAATTTCTTTAAAAATTACCAAATGTGAAAGTTGAGACTTTGTTTAAAAGTAAGCTGGTCTGTCAGTGTGTGTCCTCTCTGCTCCGCGATATATTGTTCACTGCGTGAGAACATGGTGTGTGTGTGTGTGTGTGAGAGAGGCGTGGCTTGTCGGACATAGCAACAGTAACTAAAGGGGGCGGGTCTTTGCGAACTGTCTATTTGTTTTTATCTGATAAGAAGACGTGGACAGGGTATCCGCGGGGTCTTGAAAAGTATTAAAAGGTGATAAATCAATTTTGGGAAAGTTAAGACCCTTAAAAAGTATTAAAAAGTCTTATCACGGCTTTATAAAGTCTTAAATTCTGAAAGTATTTTTTCTAGGGATGCACCGAATATTCGGCCGCCGAAAATAGCCCAAAAGTGCATTTTCGGTTTTCGGCCGAAAGACTTTTATCACCGAAACAATACGGCCGAAATGTTGTGATGGCGCAAAAAGAAACCGCGACCTGCACGTGCTAGTCTGAAGCAACATGTCTGCGGTGTGGACGTATTTCAGTATATCTGAACCCGCGAGGAGACGGAAGCCTTGTTTATACTTTCGCCTGCGTCCGCAGCGCGAGTCTCCACAGACAGCGCGCGCACCGCTCCAAACGCTCGAGGCGTTTATACCTGACGCGCTCGCCGTTGTACTATTCTTTGAAATGACAGGGAGCGGCTCAAGTAACTGTCCTCTAACCATCAGGTATCGGTGAGAAGAAGAAAGATAAACACGTGGCAATGTTTATTTTTTAGTACCACCACCAATACAAAAATAATCATGTAAAACCCAGTAAACCCTGAGATTATTACTTGTGACATTACAACAAAATATGTATAGGAATATGTACTAAATTAACGCTCTCTTAAATATTTTCTAATTTCACTAAACATATTTCATTAAGTTTCGTGTACATTTGTATTAAACATGGACCTTTGTTCATTAAAATGGCTTTTTATGCTAGTGTATGCTCATTTTTAAAATGTAATCAACTAATTTAGACGTGCAAACTGGGTGCTGGTGTGATGAGAAGTTCGTGCTCGGCTTTGTTTTTATGAGAGAACATTTCATTTTAAAACCTTTCTGCAGGCCAGCAGATTATTATTTAATGTACACATGAGTGGGGTCAAGTTAAACATTTTAGTTTGAATTTTATTTTATACTGTGCATTGTGCTAAATAAATATTTGCATAATAATTGATTTATTCTTTGAAAATGTTAATTTATGCAATTGCAATGCCTTGATTTTAGTAAAGTTTGTACGCAGTCATAACCATAAATGCAATGGTACTTATAATTGGCATAATTTCTTTCGGTGTTTCGGTTTTCGTTTTTTCAGCCTTGGGTTCCTCTTTTTCGGTTTTCGGTTTCGGCCAAGTATTTTCATTTCGGTGCATCCCTAATTTTTTCTGAATTAGCTGTCCAACAGTTTGAGTCCCAAAAACATCGTAAAAGTGTGTGAATTTAGTCATTTTTATTTATTTTTAAAAACGAAGAACTGAGGCACATGTCAGCATGATTGTTGTTGAGGGTGGAGCAAAGTTTTGTTTTGTTTTTTAATAAACTTTGCTGTGATTTACTATCTCAGCCTATTTGATTTTTTTTTTTTTTTATCAGAGTGGTCTATAGTCTTTATCACAAACTAAAACTGTTAAGTTAAAAGTATCACTGATGTAAATGGTTACAGCTTGAAGTGGCGGTGAGGTATTAAAAAATATTGAGAAGGTCTTGAAAAAGTCTTGAAAAGGTATTAAAATTAACTTCAAGATTCCTGCATATACCCTGGTGAATGAACTGCGATGGAAACACATTTACTGAATAAAATCCTTTAAAAAAAACCTCAGCGTCAGCTGTGATTGGATAACTGGAGTAACCAGCGGACCAATGGCATCGCAGCGTCTCAAATGTTGGTTTGGTGTTTCTGAAACGCCGGAGTCGAAGTCTGTGATCAGAATGTTTTGGTTTAATTCCCTCCAGAAGCGTTTCACACACACGAGTGTGTTCCCGAACACCAGTATCCGAACACGAGAACATGACAGCGTTTATTGTGTTTCGTCTGACGCTCTGAGACACACTCGTTTATGATGGAGGTAAAAACAGCCCGATTGCACCCAAAACTTACAGTTTTATTACTGATATTCCGCACCAATTTCCCAGGAAGTGGCGATTTTTTTCTCTTGAACACTATTCGCAAATGTTTTTTCCAAGTTGAATTCGCAACATAGCGTCTGTTATGGGGTTAAATAATGACATTATTGTCTTCTGTAGAACTCGTTTCATAATTGATTAACTTTGCGCAGTTATTGAACTGAACTGAATAATGAGTTTTTAGAGAATTTGTCTCATTTGTTGAAGTTGATTCCTGATTATTACTGTGAAGCTGCTTTGAAACAGTTGAAATAAAGGTATAATGTGTGGTTTGCTTCTGGTTATTTGCAGGGGTCGTGGGATGAAGTTTCGTGGCAGAGGTGGCCGGATGGGCCGTGGGATTCGTGGTGGACGTGGGATGATGATGATGATGAAAGGCTTCAGACCCCCGGGTCACATGAGAGGAAGAGGCCGCGACGGGTTTACCAATGGATTTGGACCCATGAGGTCCTGCCGAACTGTTCTTGAGTCTTTCCTTAAAGGGATAGTTCACCCAAAAATGAAAATTAGCCCATGATTTACTCGCCCTGAAGTCATCCTAGGTGTACATGACATTCTTCTTGTGAATGGCCATTTAAGTTTTGAAGTCCATCAAAGTGCATCTATCTATAATAATAATGCATCTATCCATCATAAAAGTGCATCTATTAGTGATAATAGTGCATCTATCCATCATAAAAGTGCATCTATTAGGGATAATAGTGCATCTATCCATCATAAAAGTGCATCTATTAGTGATAAAAGTGCATCTATCCATCATAAAAGTGCATCTGTCCATTATAAAAGTGCATCTATCCTTCATAAAAGTGCATCTATCCTTCATAAAAGTGCATCTATCCTTCATAAAAGTGCATCTATCCTTCATAAAAGTGCATCTATCATCATAAAAGTGCATCTATCCTTCATAAAAGTGCATCTATCATCATAAAAGTGCATCTATCCTTCATAAAAGTGCATCTATCCATCATAAAAGTGCATCTATCCATCATAAAAGTGCATCTATCCTTCATAAAAGTGCATCTATCCTTCATAAAAGTGCATCTATCATCATAAAAGTGCATCTATCCATCATAAAAGTGCATCTATCCATGATAAACGTGCATCTATCCATGATAAACGTGCATCTATCCATGATAAACGTGCATCTATCCATCATAAAAGTGCATCTATCCATCATAAAAGTGCATCTATCCATGATAAACGTGCATCTATCCATGATAAACGTGCATCTATCCATGATAAAAGTGCATCTATCCATCATAAAAGTGCATCTATCCATCATAAAAGTGCATCAGTCCATCATAAAAGTGCATCTATCCTTCATAAAAGTGCATCTATCATCATAAAAGTGCATCTATCATCATAAAAGTGCATCTATCCATGATAAACGTGCATCTATCCATGATAAACGTGCATCTATCCATCATAAACGTGCATCTATCCATGATAAAAGTGCATCTATCCATGATAAACGTGCATCTATCCATGATAAAAGTGCATCTATCCATGATAAAAGTGCGTCTATCCATCATAAAAGTGCATCTATCCTTCATAAAAGTGCATCTATCATCATAAAAGTGCATCTATCCATGATAAAAGTTCATCTATCCATGATAAACGTGCATCTATCCATGATAAAAGTGCATCTATCCATCATAAAAGTGCATCTATCCATCATAAAAGTGCATCTATCCATCATAAAAGTGCATCTATCCATCATAAAAGTGCATCTATCATCATAAAAGTGCATCTATCCATCATAAAAGTGCATCTATCCTTCATAAAAGTGCATCTATCCATCATAAAAGTGCATCTATCCATCATAAAAGTACATCCATTAGTGATAATAGTGCATCTATCCATCATAAAAGTGCATCTATCCATCATAAAAGTACATCCATTAGTGATAATAGTGCATCTATCCATCATAAAAGTGCATCTATCCATCATAAAGTGCTCCACAGGCTCCGAGGGGTTAATAAAGGCCTTCTAAAGTGAAGCGATGCGTTTGTGTAAGAAAAATATTCATATTTAAAACTTATCAACTAAAATAACTAGCTTCCGGAAGACGGCCGTCCGCATCGATTTACTACGGCGAATATTATTTAAATGAAAAATGTCATGTACACCTAGCATGGCTTGAGGGCGAGTAAATCATGGGCTAATTTTTATTTTTGGGTGAACTATCCCTTTAAATGATTTTAATGAACCCGTTTATGAAAAAGCACGTTTTCTCTGTGTGTTGCAGGAGAGGCATGGGAAGGACGTGGCCGTATCCAGACATGCGTGGCCGTCGAGGTCGAGGCGGGCCGATGGGAATGAACTTGGGTCCGCCACCGCCTCCACCTCATCACATGCACATGAGAGGACCTCCACCACACATGCACAGGTGTCCGCATCACTCCGGCAAACATCGGAGAAGCACGGTTTATATGCGCTGCATTCAACCAAATGTGCCTCTTTTTTAGAATAAAATAATCGCGTTGCGGCTGGTCAGGACTAAAACTCTGATTAACATGGAAAATATATATTTCCCCTTATCATATATACCCCTTTTCAGTTAGTAACCACGGTGACGTTTATTTGTGGGCGGAGCTTATGTGGAGGCAGAACGATTCCTCTGGCCGCTTCACTTACGCTAGTTAGCAAGTTAGCTTGTTTTTTTTTAACAATGACTAAAGACGATGTGATTTTATCTCAATGTGTAACGTCACTCACTGTCCAGGACCGCGATTGTTATTCGCAAAAGTTAATTTTAACGAACGGAACCAGATTGGCTGACCCGTACACACGCTCACTCAATGGATGGACGACGGATTATGATTGGTCAGATCGCCTGTCAATCAAACCCCCTGCGAGGGATCAATTGTGACGTCGACACTTGACGGGTCTCTTTTGGAGCCGGTCTCTAGTGGCCATTCGATGAACTGCAGTTTTAAGTCACTTCCGTGTTTGGATTCATGAGAGACTGGATGGTTTCTGCTTGGTGTAAAGTGTGTGTGTGTTTTCAGGCACGGCCCGCCTCCCCCTCCCCCCCCGCCAGGACACCCGGCCTTCAGAGGACGGCCCCCACATCCGAGGGGGCGGAGCATGATGCCGCCCGGCCCGCCCCGTTTCTTCCACCCCAGAGGGTAAGAACACACTCATCCGCTCTCACTTTAGGGGCTTTCGCACCGGATAGCTCTAGGATCGAGCCACTAGGGTGTTTCCCCGAGAACTAATGGTCCCTTAGGAACGTTTTCCTGGTTGCGTTCGCAGCGCCTGTGAAACTCTGAAGAGACGTGAGACACGCTTGCTGTTGGGACTTTTATTTTGACGGCGCTGAGAACAACTGAACACACAGCGCTCGCATTCTCCTGTTCATTAGTTTACGATCTGTCTGACAGCTCTAATACGTTATTAGATAGAACTGTTATATATAGAAAGTAGACAGTAATGAAGTTATTAGCGTTTGCCGTGTGGTTTATATCTAGTGTCGCTGAGCAGAAACACATAATCATGTTTCTCTTGATTTTCTCCTCAGCGTAGAGGTTTAGAGGTCCATCTATCCCTGTTTTCCGTGTTCGTAGAGTTAGTTTGTGGAGTAAATATATAGGCTATAATCTGTGTGTTTACACAGCTTTTTTTAAATGGCGGGTGCTGGTGTTTCGCGTGCGTTCGGCCAATCAGCGAACACTAACGTCACGGATGGCTCCTATAGCGCTGGTTTAGAGCGACTCTGAAGTAGGAGTAAATTAGTTCCTCTAAAATCGTTCCTGCAATGCGAACAAACACGCCAAAATCCGGGAACTTTCGCCAATAGTTCTAGGAACCATGAAAAGGTTCCTCCGGTGCGAAAGCCCCTTTTCTCAAACACACATGCGAAGAAGAGTCTCTTCGGGCGTGACAGTGCAGACCACGGCTAAAATTAAAATTACATAGTGCATGACACCCTGTTTTTCTTGAATTCTGTGTTTTTTAAATAACGCATTTGCAAAAAGAATGACGAGTTTCGGCGCCTCTTGAGCACAGCAGGCCAATCAAAATGTGTGATTTTATCCTTTCATGCAGTTACCACAACGGATCGGCCCCTCCTCTGCCCCACCCGCCTCCAGGCAGGGGCCAGCGCTGGCCGGGGCCCCCTGGTGGCCGGAAGTTTTAACGCAACTAAAATCTGTAGCGTTAATGTCCACCGCTCAGACTCATTTCTGTCCGAACAGACTCGCAGGTCCTTTTACTGTAACAAACACGCTACCTTTTTATTTTTTTTATATATATATATATGTTACTTTATTGGAGGAAATAATCCCGAAAAACATTTAAAGGGATAGTTCACCCAAAAATTAAAATTAGCCCATGATTTACTCCCCCTCAAGCCATGCTAGGTGTACATGACATTCTTCTTTCAGACGAATACAATCGGAGTTATATTAAGAAATGTCCTGGCTCTTCCAAGCTTTATAATGGGATTGAATGTGTTTTCGGAAGTCCATCAAAGTGCATCTATCCATCATAATAGTGCATCTGTCCATCATAAAAGTGCATCTATCCATCATAAAAGTGCATCAGTCCATCATAAAAGTGCATCTATCCATCATAAAAGTGCATCTGTCCATCATAAAAGTGCATCTATCCATCATAAATGTGCATCTGTCCATCATAAAAGTGCATCTGTCCATCATAAAAGTGCATCTATCCATCTATCCATCATAAAAGTGCATCTGTCCATCATAAATGTGCATCTGTCCATCATAAAAGTGCATCTATCCATCTATCCATCATAAAAGTGCATCTGTCCATCATAAATGTGCATCTGTCCATCATAAAAGTGCATCTGTCCATCATAAAAGTGCATCTATCCATCATAAAAGTGCATCTGTCCATCATAAAAGTGCATCTGTCCATCATAAAAGTGCATCAATCCATGATAAAAGTGCATCTATCCATCATAAAAGTGCATCTGTCCATCATAAAAGTGCATCAATCCATGATAAAAGTGCATCTATCATCATAAAAGTGCATCAATCCATGATAAAAGTGCATCAGTCCATCATAAAAGTGCATCTATCCATGATAAAAGTGCATCAGTCCATCATAAAAGTGCATCAGTCCATCATAAAGTGCATCTATACATCATAAAAGTGCATCTATCCATCATAAAAGTGCATCAGTCCATCATAAAAGTGCATCTGTCCATCATAAAAGTGCATCTGTCCATCATAAAAGTGCATCAGTCCATGATAAAAGTGCATCTGTCCATGATAAAAGTGCATCAGTCCATCATAAAAGTGCATCTGTCCATCATAAAAGTGCATCAGTCCATCATAAAAGTGCATCTGTCCATCATAAAAGTGCATCAGTCCATCATAAAAGTGCATCTGTCCATCATAAAAGTGCATCAGTCCATGATAAAAGTGCATCTGTCCATCATAAAAGTGCATCTGTCCATGATAAAAGTGCATCAGTCCATCATAAAAGTGCATCTATCCATCATAAAAGTGCATCAGTCCATCATAAAAGTGCATCAGTCCATGATAAAAGTGCATCTGTCCATCATAAAAGTGCATCTGTCCATGATAAAAGTGCATCTGTCCATCATAAAAGTGCATCTATCCATCATAAAAGTGCATCTGTCCATCATAAAAGTGCATCTATCCATCATAAAAGTGCATCAGTCCATGATAAAAGTGCATCTGTCCATCATAAAAGTGCATCTATCCATCATAAAAGTGCATCAGTCCATCATAAAAGTGCATCAGTCCATGATAAAAGTGCATCTGTCCATCATAAAAGTGCATCTGTCCATGATAAAAGTGCATCTGTCCATCATAAAAGTGCATCTATCCATCATAAAAGTGCATCTGTCCATCATAAAAGTGCATCTATCCATCATAAAAGTGCATCAGTCCATCATAAAAGTGCATCTGTCCATCATAAAAGTGCATCTGTCCATCATAAATGTGCATCTGTCCATCATAAAAGTGCATCTGTCCATGATAAAAGTGCATCTGTCCATCATAAAAGTGCATCTATCCATCATAAAAGTGCATCTGTCCATCATAAAAGTGCATCTATCCATCATAAAAGTGCATCAGTCCATCATAAATGTGCATCTGTCCATCATAAAAGTGCATCTGTCCATCATAAAAGTGCATCTATCCATCATAAAAGTGCATCTGTCCATCATAAATGTGCATCTGTCCATCATAAAAGTGCATCTATCCATCATAAAAGCGCATCTATTCATATAGATGCACTTTTATGATGGATGGATGCACTTTTATCATGGATAGATGCATTTTGATGGACTTCCAAATACAAAAACCCATTCACTGCCATTATAAAGCTTGGAAGAGCCAGGACATTTTTTAACATAACTCCCGATTGTGTTCGTCTTAAAGAAGAAAGTCATGTACACCTAGGATCGCTTCAAGGGTGAGTAAATCATGGGCTAATGTTCATTTTTGGGTGAACTATCCCTTTAAAAGCACCTACTCTGAGGAGGAGAAGGACACAACATGTTCTTAAGTTGATTTAAATTAAGTGTTTTTACTCCCTAAGTGTTGTGTATAGTCAGCGTGGTGCTATTCCTGTGAGCCTTAAACAATCCTGTTCCTTTACTCCAAGAAAACAAGTGAGACTTTAGAGAGCGAGAAGGGACGAGTTATTCCTCAAGCTTGTGTCGTTGATATTTCTGTACTCCTTGGACGTCTCAAATATGGCATTTACCAAGCAGATCCCTCAATATGTTCATCTTCATGTGTAGTGCTCATGAATTAATAATGATTTAATATCATAAATGTGCAGCTACGTAAGTCAAGTGAGAATATTGCTGTTGAAAAGTATTCATGTTTCTTTTTTTTTGGTTGAATGATTGTTAAAATCACAAATACATGGATTCGTTTTTAACATGACAGTAGAGTAGCGCTACGATTTATACTTCTTTAAATAAATATTTCCTTGCTTTTCTATTTTAAGGCCAAGTATTTGATTCAAAATAGTAAAAAGTAAAGATTAAAAACCCTCTCTGTGTTGAGTTTTGAAGTGTTATGGCACATTCACGTATTGTAACTGATAAAGTCATGTGAATTTGTGAATGTAAATTGAACAGATAACAGCTTTTGACTTAGTTTTGACAAACAAAACAATAAAGTTAAGATAAAATGACCTCTCTTTTTATTGTTCATTTAAACCAAAAGCTGAATGTCCATTAATGTAATGCATTTTTTTATAAAGTACTGATCATTTCCGAAGCCAAATGGACAGATTTTTACACTATGATGTGTTTATTATGAATACTCATATATATTTACATCATTGCAGAAATGCATAATAAAGCACATTGTTCTATAATTGAGTTAAAGTTACATTTGAAATGCACTGAATTAAAGTTGCATAGAGGGCTGAAACTCAAGCACAGGCCGGATGTCCAAGGATGTGTGCATGAAATAAATGTACTTTTATTATTCAACAGAAAAACACTTTAGACTCATTCTAAAAGTAAAGTTCAGATGGAAGAAAGTGGGGATGAAAACGGCTCCGGACGTCATCTCAGGACGCTTTTAAACCCCGTTAAAGAGGAACTTCATGCTTTTTTATTTAGTTATGTAAAGAAATGAATGTAAAGGTTACAAAAAATACTTTATCTTTGATGCATGTTTGATTAATAACCCGTTTACTAAACTAAATTTGGACCTAAAAAAAAATTAAGCCATGAAAAACAAGAATTTAAAGGGACAGTGCACCCATATATCGTCTTCTACTCTTTCCTCGAAAACTACGAGTTTCTTTGTTCTGTTGAACTCAAAATTATGCAGAATTAGAATAATTTGTATCTATTTACTTCCCTAGTATTTTTTTTTACCAGTAATTGTGTGTGTGCCAAACATTAATCAAAATACCTTTTTGGACCCCATTGACTTCCATAGTATGGAGAAAATACAATGGAAATCTGGTTACCAACATTATTCTTCAAAGAAAGAAACTCGAACAACTTTGCATTTAGATCGGATGTTTCTTCGGGATCACAAATTCAGTCGGTGCGTCCAAACTTTTGCCTTGTGTGAAGCCATTAACATAATGAATAATGTGGATCATGTGATGCGAGAACATTATCCTGATTAATCCGCTTTATTACACCTAATATCTCTGTGGCATTCAACATGAATACGGATGAATTGCGCAGAAAATCTCACTATCTAACGACTGTTCGTGACCCGTTTGTGAGTATTGTAAAGTGAGATGTGATGAAGAAGGTGGTGTGTGTAGCGCTCCGGCCGTCAGTGAGTTACTCGTAGGTCGACTCCTTCCGGAAGTGTCAGAAATGGCGCGCGTCGAGCAGCAAACGTGTTCTGTGTGTTCCTCTGACTCTTCTTGTCTCCTGAAGGGGTGAGACACCCTTCTGGAAGCATCCGGACACTCGTTTGAGGACCATCCCGTCTGTCACTCATCTCCTCCAAGCCCCGCCCCCACGGTGAGAAGCCCCGCCCCCTCGTAACCACGGTGAGTTTGTCTCTCTCTCGCTCTTTCTCTCAATCGCTCACTCGCTCTCTCAATATCTCTCTCTCTCTCTCTCTCTCTCTCTCTCTCTCTCTCTCTCTCTCTCTCTCTCTCTCAATCTCTCTCTCTCTCTCAATCTCTCTCTCTCTCTCTCTCTCTCTCTCAATCTCTCTCTCTCTCTCTCTCTCTCTCAATATCTCTCTCTCTCTCAATCTCTCTCTCTCTCAATCTCTCTCTCTCTCAATCTCTCTCTCAATCTCTCTCTCTCTCAATCTCTCTCTCTCTCTCTCTCTCTCTCTCTCAATCAACTCAATTCAAATTGCTTTATTGGCATGACTGTACATATTACAGTATTGCCAAAGCTTGTAACACATAGTATAATAATAAAGACATAAAGAATAATAAAGTATTATAACAACTTAAATTCAAATGTACAAATTAAATTAATTGCACAAATTAACAGTGTAACAATCTCTCTCTCTCTCTCTCTCTCTCTCTCTCTCTCTCTCTCTCTCTCTCTCTCTCTCTCTCTCTCTCTCTCTCTCTCTCTCTCTCTCTCTCTCTCTCTCTCTCTCTCTCTCTCTCTCTCTCTCTCTCTCTCTCTCTCTCTCTCTCAAATTCAAAATTGCTTTATTGGCATGACTGTAAATAATACAATATTCCAAAAGCTTGGAACATATAGAATAATAATTAAAAACATCAAAATAATAGAATAAAAAGTAGAGCCGGGACTTTAACGCGTTAATTAAGATACATTTTTTACGCATTTTAATCACACTTATTTTTGCACCGCTGAACGTTTCTCACTGGACGAGTTTCGGCGGACCGACAAGCCACAGTGAACATGAACGCAGAAGCTGACGAGACCGCTTTGGTTGACCCCGTGGATGGGACATTTTGTTATAAAAAACGAACGGATGGAAGCGTCGATAATTTTTTTTTTAAATCGAGTCCCGGCCCTAATAAAAAGATTATAACTTAAATTGGTAACACTTTAAAATAAGGTTATACAGATATTTTCCCCGATATTTAAAGTCCTCCTGTAGTCCATAATTTCATCCCTTAAACTCATCTTTGATCACCAAAACGATACATAAAAAAAAAAATCCTTGAAAAATGCCTTAAAGTATCTTGTGTAACTCGACACCCTCACCTCATTTAGTATGCGCGGTTCTATGAATATGCAAATGAGCCCCGCCTCCACTCACTCACTCAGCTCAGAGATCCACTGGTTGACGATCACACGTTGATCTGATTGGTTACAAGCTCGTTTGTGACGTCAGAAACACCAGCGATTTCAAACCGTGTTTTTGAGACTGTCTTTGGTTCACTGCAGTTTTAAGCAGGAAATACTCAGCAATGCTGTCGACTTATGAACTTACACATGGTGTGTCTTAAAGCATATTAAAAACACCACATAGACACATAAACAACATTAAAAACTGGATTTTCACCACAGGGGGAAGAAGAGTCAACAACTGTCCAAAGGTAAAATAACCTCCCTTAATTAATAAACTTTAACATAACAGCCATGAATGCACAAACAAGATATTGACATGCAAGGCAAGTTTATTTACATAGCATATTTCATACACTATGGCACAAACAAGATATTGACTATGTTGCATATAGTTTCACTCTTACACTGTGTCTGGTGTTTAAACTTGGTGCTTAAAAAATAGAGACGGAGTCACGGAATGCGTAAGTAATGTCCCAATAAACTATTATTACTATTATTATAAATTACTAATGCTAATGCTATTATTATCATGAATATTATTATTGTTACTACTACTATTCTTGTAATTATTATTAGTATGTTTACTACTTCCACTACAACTTTATTACTATGATTGTCTCTATCTATATCACTAAAATATCTCATTACTTACCAATATACCAGCATACACCACTGTATCCATATCTATATTTAGCTGTTCTCCTTCTCTTTGTTTTTGTTTCTCACTTTCCTGTATGTGTGTTAATTATTTCTTACCCTGTATAGGTTAATTTGCGATAAAAAACAAATAATAATAATTCTGTCCCAATACAGACGTAACTTCACATGCATGAAATAAAAGCGCTGAATTGAATTAATTCTCTCTTTGCTGTGTGTTCATCATTAGTCTGGGGAAGTGGCGTTTATAGTGATCCACTCCTTTAAAACTCAAATTATATTAACAGAAATGAAACAATAAATAAATATTGGTTCTGTTTATTGTGTATCGGCCGCATAAACATGCAAATTATCGTCTATAATTAACTCAACATCGGTCGATCTCTACATCTCTACGTTGCAATATTTCATGTGAAAATTCAAAATCAAAAATTGGCATAATATATATATATATATATATATATATATGCATTAAATCCCGTGTTTCAGTGTCATTGTCAAGCCCTGTGAATTAACGAATGCATTTATTAATTTGAGTTGATGTGAATTAAAGTGATGAATGTTTCTGATCTGATCAACTTTTAAGATTTGTAGACGAACATTATTTACACACTTGTGACGTGTTTATTCATCTTTGTTCGTGTTAGTTAATAAAAATACTTTCCAAGTCCATTAAAAAAACATGGTAAGACTTTACAATAAGTTAAAATTACTTAATTAAGCAATATATTCTTGCAGCACATTATTATTATTATTAGTTAATTAATGTCAATGTTTACAGATATGATTTTAGGAATGCATTAGTAAAGGCAAAATAAATTAGGATTAATAAAGCAATGTTCATTTGTTAGTTAATGTTAACGAATTATTGTAAAGTGTTATTTTAATGGATACAACTTTAGATTTTAATAATGTATTAGTAAATGTTGAAAGAAAATAAAGAAATGCTTTATAAATGTTTTTCATTGTAAAGAACCATATTGTGGTTTTTACCTAAATATAAATGTTATTATTTCTTTATTAAACTTAATAAAACGTCATTGTGAAGTGTTTACGCATTATATAATAGGAACCAAAGTTAAAATGCATTATTGCATACATGATAATATTTGCGATGTTTTTTAATGCCAACAATGAATAGATGTGTTTATTCATCAGATAAAAGTGCATAATTAATGCATTATAATACTCTTATAATGCATGATATATAACGGCTTAAATGTAAGTGTTAAATAGCTTTTTATAGCAGATACTAAAGGAAAAGCATAATCTCATTTGCATTATTCGGCTTTATTTATACACCGTTTCAAAGCAGCTTCACAGAGATAAATAATGCAACAAAGTTTGTTTCCTTCAAAACAAACGGAAAAATTATTCACAATATGATTGAAAGATTCTCCAGAGGGTTTTGCCACGATCTGAGGAACATCCAATTATGTGTCGTTTATCATTTTTACAGTGCAATAAACAATATTCAGATGAATATTCAAGGAATATGAACTTCCCGAAACTCATGCAAAGCTGGATCAGACAGTTCTGGAGTTTAGTTTTTCCTCGATCTAAATGTTTCAATGCTTTAATTCTGTAAACGGAGATGTATGATGAATGTATCTGACACATCTTGCTGTTCTGTGTTCATGATCTCAGTATGGGAGAGAGACTTGAGTGAGCGAACGAACGAACAGTGAATCATTTGACTGTTTTGATTCAGAGGAAAGAGTCATTTGGTTTGCGCTGCAGGACCGGTAAGTAACACCTCATCTGAACTGCGCAGTTCTCACACACACACACACACACACACACCATCTCTCATCTAATCCAGATCTAGATTTACAGTTCATGTTTCTCAGATGCTGATGTCACTTCCTCTTGTATTAAAGGGATGTTTCTGCAAACCGGTCTTGGTGTTTTTAATTGTCGATGCATGATTGTGGGAATCTTCTGATTTATTAAATGCCAAATGAACACTTCGGACGTCTATAATCCAGATACAATTGTCTCTTTTTATAATGTAGAGACAAAACTGACAGTATTAACTAACAAACTAGTGCTGGTCAACGATTAACCGCATCCAGTGTTCACATAATGTGTGTGTGTGTACTGTTATTTTGTATATATAAACATACATATGCATGTGTGTATATAAGAAAAATTTGTTCTTTATAAATAATGTATAAATATACAGTATATACATGCAAATATTTCTTAAATATATACAAAATAATTATACACAGTACACACACACATTATGTAAACACAAACTTTTATTATTTTGGATGATTAATCGTCGCCCAGCACTAAAAATAAATAATAGATGGAAAAATACATCATAAGCATGTTGAAAGAAGAAATAAACTGAAATAAAGGAAATACACTTATGGTATACAGTTCAATTGTTCAAATCTAAGAGTTGAACGTATAATATTGGTATGCAGCGTCGGTGTTTTATGCTCGTTCCTCATTGGCTGTGTTCGTCCCACAGTGGATTCTGGATGTGCTCCGGGATCTTCTCAACCGCAGTCTATCGAGAACAAACACTGTGTGTTACAGAGGAGACGCACGCTTTATCAACTTACACACACTTGTAACATCGCACTGGTCCGTTTGTACAGTGTGTGTGTGTGTGATGTCGTTACCTTGGTGATCTCCATGGCGACGCCCTCCGGCAGATTGCGCTGGATATACTCCAGATAAACCCGCGCGCTTGATCCCGTTATTCCAGAAATCTGGAAGTCACAAAGATGTTGAAATGACCAGGCATTTAAAGAGTAGAGATTTTTATTTAAAAAAAAATTTATATTATTATTATTATACACATACACACGTACAAATAAACCCTAACTTAATATATATAGCCTGTATGTAAAAAAATAAATTATATATACACACACATGCGTTATATATATGTAAATAGTGTAATATAATTAATATATATATATATATATACACTTATAAAATTACATATATGTATATCACAGTAATAATAAAAATAATATATATACACACACACTTATTTTGTATAAAATTATTTATATATATATTTCATGTATATCACAGTAATATAAAATATATATATATAATTATATTTTTCTAAAATATTTTTTATATACATTTTTTAGCCTGTAAACGCAAATTTTATATATACAATCCCATCACTGAAAACTTTATAATGAACATGTATGATTCTTTTTAAGTTACGCTCAAGGAAAGAGTCTGTGCTGCGTGTGTGTGAACACACTCGTGTCGTGTTGTGTGTGAACACACTCGTGTTGCGTGAACACACTCGTGTCGTGCTGCGTGTGTGTGAACACACTCGTGTCGTGTTGTGTGTGAACACACTCGTGTCGTGTTGCGTGTGAACACACTCGTGTCGTGCTGCGTGTGTGTGAACACACTCGTGTCGTGCTGCGTGTGTGTGAACACACTCGTGTCGTGCTGCGTGTGTGTGAACACACTCGTGTCGTGTTGCGTGTGAACACACTCGTGTCGGTACAGAAGAGCAGATGCGGGTCACCTGGACGAGCCGGCGGTGTGTCCTCATCTCGTACTGGGCTCTGTGCTTCTTGAAGATGTGAATGGACTTCAGCAGGGTGAGCTTATCAATGTGTTTGGGCGGCTCGAACCTGGACACAGAATAACACATCCAGCCCTCACTTCAACAGCATCATATATATATACAATATAAATGAGTTCAGCTCGATAATACTCACACTTTCTCCAGGGTGAGTCCGAGCTCTCGAGCAGCCAGAGTCGCGAAAAACTCATAACTGTCCAGAACTGACCTATCGTGACCTTTGACCTCCACTGACAGCCTCTGATAGAGAGTGTCCGGCTCCTCTGACACCTGTCAATCAAATATACACGCTTACACACTCAGGCTACAAACACTGAACTTTGACTTTAATCACAGTCATATCAAACATTAGGGCGAATTTAAAAGCATATACTCACGACAGGAGACGGTGATGTGTGGATCAACCTGAAAAAACAAACATTTATGCCACTAAATGATGTTTAACTTCTAAACCATGGGGAATAATTTTTTAAGAGAGTTAAGTGTGAAACTGACCGTCTTTGATGCTGTCCTGCAGCCGCCTGTGATACAGAACAAAGTAAAGTAAACAACTGCGCTCATGTAGTAACAAAGAGACAGATAAACCGTGTGAGAGAGTCTGCAGTACCTGAAAGAAGTGTCTGTTAATGGTCTTTGACAGGACGCTCGCCATGGAAGCCGCCATGTTTTCTGCCTCGACAGGAGGAAGGAAGTGACGTCAAAACACAGACGCGGGAAATGGTGCCCCTAACGGCAGGGAATCGCAATAATGATCCAGGTTAGAAACTAAAACACTTGATGAAAAACTAGTTTATGTATTTGTTTCGTTTAATGATTTATTGTGACTGAATAACTGTATCGCTAAAACACTTTATTGACAATAGTTTATTTACTTCAATTCGACCCACGCAAATATTCAAACTTCCAAACACATCATTAATTTTCATTGAATATGAACATTTTGATTACAATCACACTGAAAACACCTAAATAAAGAAAGAAAAGAAAAATAAGTTTAAGTTTTGTAGCATGCTCCAATTCTAATTTATACTGGCCAATATTAGGTGAACGCGTAGAAATAAAACACTTATGAAGCATTTCTATTTATAATGCATTATGAGGAATTTCCGTCAATAAAAAGCTATGAAAACACCCTGTATTATAGTAATTTTTAAGTATATAAACTTAAGTAAACCCAACTCTTGTTCTTGCTTATTTTTATTGAAATATAAATCTGCAAAAAATTGAAATAAATGAAATTATGAGACACGATTCACTGTGAATAATTTTTTTGTGATGGTTTTATTTTTGTAAGTTTTTACATAAACAAATAAATACACATCACCCTGTACACGTTCTGGAAATAAATCACTGAGGGGAAAATATATAATATGTGATCATATGGTGGTCACGTGACCCAGCGCAGCGGCCCAGGCATCATCAGAATCCGAGACAGCAGCGCTAAAAACACACTCTTCTCACATCCACACTCACAGGTAAACATCGCCACGGCTTCCTTTGGGTTTCGGTATCATCCCTAGCCCGGTTCCTTTCTTCTAGCTCATCCTGCTATTGTGTTTTATAGTGGAAAAACAACGAGGGAGCGCGCGAAGTGAGTGTAGCTGCGGAGCTAACAAAAGCCAGAGACGCAGAAATGCAGCAAAGAGGGTTTAATTCAACAACGGGATGATTACAAAAGCGTTTTACTAGACGAATCAACCGAGTACATGTAAAGATTGTATCTAGACGGATTTCTCAGAAGTGTCAGCTGTTAAATCTAACAAGCACTGTGATCATGTTGGTTTTATGTTCTCGTCGAGTTCATCAGGATCGTTTAATACATTGATTCTCAAAATATCGGTGTTGTTTTGTTGGATCTCTCATAAAGCGGTTAAAAGATCCAGTGTTTGTGGCGTTTACTTGTGAACTAGAGCCATGAGGGATCGCTTTTAATAAATATTTCTTTAATTCTTCGTTTTGTGTTGCTATACTGTAATTTCAGGGGATTTTAACGAAATACTGCGGTGAAACGGCAAATTAAACCGCCATTTATTCCGCTAAGAAAGTATTTCTGCTTACCTAGCAAACTAAAAAAAACTGTGTTTTGAGTTTATACTGATAACCTCAACATCATTCGAGACTTTTACGTTGTTATTGATGATGATCATCATCATGATTAATTGTGCTGAATTCTGAATCGCTAATTGTGTTTATATGTCTGCCGTTGTCCTCTACAAAGGAATCCCCGACGCTGATTGGCCGGTGGCTCCTCTGATGCGATGACGACACGCGCTGGAGAATCCCGTGCGCGCGCTGCTGCCACCACGAGCACGAGGACCGGAGCGTTTTCATCCGTCGGTGACGTCACCGCGAACGGGGCATCGTGCGTAATGACATCATGAGGTTAAGCTGCGAGCCTGAAGGAGGGGAAAGTTTTCTTTGAGACTTGGATATTTTCAACCTCTTTGTTGCTGGGAGTCGGACACACAGGTGAATTCCTGCTTGGACATCCGGGCACTTGTTGTGTTTGCCTGTCAGCATGATAATATATGTGCCTTGTTAGTAGTTTTATGCAGTTTTGCGGATGCATTCGGACCGAACGTGGTTGTGAACAGGCCGCCGCTCTCACCTGGACCCCAAGGACCCGCCGGTGAGCCGGGTGACTTCGTGGATTTGCGTGAATCCGACCGCGCAGACATGTTCGCCGCAGTGGAGAACGGTCCCGTCCTGTGCAGCGACTCCAACATCTTGTGCCTGTCCTGGAAGGGTCGCGTTCCCCGGAGCGAGAAGGAAAAGCCCGTGTGCAGGAGACGCTATTATGAGGAAGGCTGGCTCGCCACGGGGAACGGCAGGGGCGTCGTGGGCGTCACGTTCACCTCCAGCCACTGCAGGAGAGACCGGACGACCCCACAGCGCATCAACTTCAACCTGAGGGGACACAATAGTGAGGTAGGGCGTTAGAAGCATTCGACGACAAGCCTAAGGGTGTGTGTGGGGCAGATTACGCCTCCAGATTCAGGTTTCCTTGGGAAAAAGGCATTTAAAATAAAAAGTGATTTCAAGTGCCTGAGAAAGTAAATGTAATGGCTATTTTAACTCTCTCATATTGGTCGATCTCGTGTGAATATGACTTTTTTATTTTTGCGTATGTTTGCATGGTTATCTTCAAATTCTAATTTGCATTTAGAAAAGGCCTTTAAAAGGAAGGAATTTAAATGCAATTTTGATTTGAATTGAAAGTCATTGGTCAAAAAGGTGTGAGAGCCTTGCAAAATACACCAAATATCATGTGCATATTATGTTTAAAGTCCCCATGAAATCAAAATGTTTTTGTCTTCTAGTATGAATATGTTAGCGTTACTGTTATCTATAAGCTAGTGCGCTCCAAAATTACATTTAGAAGATATAAGCATTCAAAACTTAGTCTCTCACTTCCGGATCAGTGATTTTGATGACATCACGCTGCACTTCGGCGTCTCATCAGATTTTCTGTCCAATCGAATGCTCTCTAGAATCTGAAGCTCCGCCCCCTTAATTAAAAACAGAAGCTGCTCCTGGTCAAACATTACTCTGTTAGGGACCTTTCGGTATTTATGGAAAGGGCCACCGGAGGAAAATAGGGGAGGGTCATGTCTTTTTATTCTTTGTTGAGGGGAGGGTCATCCAACTTTTTTAGTCTATAGGGGAGGGTCACCCAACTTTTGTATTCATCAAAACAGCTACATTTCAAAGTGGCTTGTTTGGTGCAAATTTTTTCCATGTAGCTTTATGTAGCTCTCTCGGTCTCGGCCCCCCATCGCTATCTATGGTCTGACCCAACAAAAATCTAGTTTGGCGCTGTTTGACAGTGCGCGCGCGCACTTCAGTACGCGCTCAGAAAAAGTGTATTAGAACAGAACGCCAAAGTAAAGTTTACCCGGCAAAGCTTTAAAGCACGAGCAAATAATGAACTTTTGTGATTGCGAATAAGTGCAGTGTCCTGTGAGTGTAACTCTACCGCTGCATTAACATGTGATGTGAATGTACGTCGAGTTTTACAGTATTGGGACTGAGGCGCCAGAACTGCAGCCGATATAATGTGCGCTGTAGCACGATACTACCATATTTCAGTTTCCATTCTTATTGTGTTTCCACAACAATGTTAGTGAGCAAATCTACTGAAATTGACCCCATAACAGTGGAGTGTGATGTGTTGGACATAGGGCTACCACATTTTTAAATTACCACATTTCATATTACAATGTTTTTTTTTTCCATCTATGTTAATTATGAAAAGTATAGCCTACGCAATATATCGGGAGACATGGCCAGCCATGATTTTGACCACTTTATTAAGTGTTGTTTTGTAGAAAGCCTTTCTTTAAAGTGAATTTCGTTTTGTATAAATTGTATCTTAATTTTAATCAATGTTTCATCAACAAATTGTCTGGATTTAATATATAAGAAGTAAATAGTAGAAAATCATCATGACACGGAGGCGCCTGCGCGTGAACTGGACTCTTGTCAAATAAATTAACGAAACATCATAATAGGCTGTAGTAGGCTACTTGCCTCACAGACCTGATAAATATATAGAAAGCTTGACATGTCTACTTTTTAACAGAACAATTCAAAACAAAAGAAAACAGACAGACTGCTCTCTGCTAATGTAATCCGAAATGTGCATTTCTCTCTGGCGCTTTCACTATTGCGAAGATCGCGAGTCAGCATCGTCACCTTTATATTTGCAACGACACTGACAAAGACTTGTTTATTAATAAACAATTAAAATGTCCCCTTGCTATATTATTCATAATCGTTACTTTTGCTGGTTCTTTGTGGCAGCTTTAAGATACTGTATTGGCAGCGCCACCCTTACATTTTACATGAACGCGTCACCACTGCATCAGCCCCGAAAACATGATTTTTTTTTCCAAATCAAAAATTGTGATACGAACCGAATTGTAGGTTTGGTGTATCATTACAGCAAGATGAGAAAGCAGGAGTTTAGTCGTTTATCATCGAATGGCTATCTGAACATCTTTGCCAAGTGCAAACCAGAAAAGTAGCCTAATCAATAAATTATCGGGGAGGGTCATGCCTTTTTTCACAATCATTTTGGAGGGTCATATAAAAAATTATTGCTGGCGAAGGGAGGGTCAAGTCTTTTTTGACTACAGATCTCAAATCTCCTCCGGTGGCCCCTTAAATAAATAACGAACAGTCCCTTACAAGTAAAAGTTGTACGGACCGATTTTTACTGAAGTAAAAGTACAAAAGTACTCGTTTTTAAAAGTACTTGAGTATCAAAAGTAAATGTCAATGCATTGTTTTATTATTGTTGTATGTAATACTTACAGTACTTTAAATTTCCAACTTTCTACTCGAGGACCTCGACAGAAACGCGAGTAAAAAGTACGATATTTGTCTTTCAAACGTAGTGAAGTTAAAGTAAAAAGTTTCCAGACAAAGTAATACTCAAAGTACAGATACTCAAAAAGTGTACTTAAGTACAGCACTCGAGTAAATGTGTCTTTGTTAGTGTCCACCTCTGGGATAGGGGACGATTCAGACAGGCTAATGTTCACGCTAGTGTCACGTGATCGAGGCGACGCGGACCAGAAAACGTATCAGATCCTTTGAATTCTGCACAGAATGCTGTATTTTAAAGCGATATGGAGGAGATTAGGATGTAAACAAAACGCTATTGGCTATTTCAAAAAAGGGGGAGGAGCTGTTCGATATGCCCCGCCCTCTTCCTGTTCCCGTGGAAATGACATCTTTACACTGAATAATGCTGCTCGTTTCGTATCTTTAAGAAACGCATCGAGTGAATCATAAAACGCCTCATGAATAGGAAATGCTCTCGTGTTCGTCGAGCCGTTGAATCATGGGTAACGGGTGTGAAATCAATCATGGTTTAATTCCCCTTCCTGACAGCCGGCTGATGACGCTGGGTAACGAGATCTGTCAGGTTATGAGGTATGAGATCATTATAACCATCTCTCTTCTGGAATATGTAATTCTGCGTTCAGTTTGATCTCTGTAGTAACTTACTCCCTTTAGTGATAAAGGAGACTAAACTGTGTGTTATTCCAGTGGTCTTCTCTGTGGTGTTTTATTTAGGCTAATCATAGTTTTCAATACCATGAAGCAAATGCAGATACACACACACAATCAAACAACAAGTATAATAATAATACAATATTTCAGACTCTCTCACAGTTGATTCACACTAACAGACTTTTCTATAATATAACTAGACCAAAATCATTAATAAAACCAACACCCAATTGAACTAAAATAGTAGACGCCAAAGCATCTGAATAAGTTATTTTTCTTAAATTTGATCATTTTTATTAACTTTTAGTAATAAATGTGAGTGAGAGAGACAAAACTGTGTGTTATTCCACTGGTCGTCTCTGTGTTGTTTGAGGATACGCCACAGTCGTCATGGCAACTCCCAACTGCCACTCAGAATTCAGAAAATGCAACTGAACTGTTCAGTGCAAACTCATTATAATTAATTTAAATAAATAAAAAATGTACTGTATCCACCTTATTCCTGCGCCCCATGACGCTTTGAGATGACATTAATCGACTCACCCTTCAATCATCGAACATTAAAATGAAATTTAAAAGTTTGAAAGAATCAACAAGGTCAACAGACCAAAAATAGCCCCAAACGCGCGAGTCTTTGGTTAAATATCACTGTAGTAGGCAAATATATTGTATAACAAGCCTTAATCAAAAATGTTCATTAACTTCAGCATTACGTGACACTATATCAAAGTGATTTCTGTCATTTTGACAGATTATAAATTGCATTTACCTGTGAAAACAAACCTGGAAAGAGACGTGAGGATTTGAGGAGAATAACGAGAGATTCTTCGTGCATTCCAGTGAATTATTATTGTAAATTAAATTCGGGAGAACAGACCACAAATGTGCCGTATATGTTGTACTTTTTTCATACTTTTACAGCGGATTGCAAAGGAAAAAATAAAAATCATCATGAGGAAAAGAAAGCAGCGATTGAAAAGAGCTCTTGCCATAGATATTCTTGTTATAACATGTCACGTTAAAATACCAAGTATAACGTTATTCTCATGATGTCTGAAAATAAATCATGAAGGAAAAATTGAAAATTTAAGCTTTATTTGTAGGGCAACCTTATGATTTAAAATGATTCGTTTCAGCCTTTTTGAATGGAAGTTCCCCAAACCGGAAGTGCCACCCATAATTCAAAACGCAGTAAGGTCGTCAGGAATAAGGTGGATATAAATTGAAATAGACATATATAAATAGAAAGTAGAATACACACAAACAACTAAATACCTTCGTGACCCAAATATGCAGGGTGGTCACATGTAAATGAAGCTAAATGTATGCTATTATTATTTTAGTGTAGGCTGGAATTTGATTTATGATCGTTAACTAAAACTCTTAACATTTCTGTTAATTGATACAAATCTGAAGAAGCACAGGTAACACTTTATATTACAGTTACATATGTTACATGTACTTACCATAGTAATAACAGTAAATTATGCATAATTACATGCAAATAACCCTCAACCTAATCTAATAGTAAGCACATGTACTTGCTTATTAATATTACTCAGTACTTCAATATATAATTACACTGTAACTGACACCTTATATAAAGTGTAACCGTGAGTGTTGTGTTTTTTTTCCTAGATAAAAAAGTTTAACTTTTACAAACATGTCTTCTTGAGACCTTGCATTTCTCTGTTCCTCTCGTGTTTTGTATGCAAAAACACTTTCTAAATGAACAGCCAATGTTTGATCTAATCATCACACAAACGAAGACTGCTTTCCTTCTTCCTCCCGAGCGCTTTCTTTCACCATGCAAGTGTCCATCACATATAAAGAGAGCAAAAAATAGATGTGGGTAAAAATAAACCAGCTGTAATCTGTTCTCTGTTGGGATTCTTAACCTTGTTGCATCTTTAAAGCGTCTCGACATCTGCCTCTCATATGAAACGTGTTCACACACACACACACACACACACACACACACACTCTTTCATACTTTATCTGTAAAGTGAGGCCAAATGCCTCTAAAAATAGTAGTTTGGGAGAAAGGAAATATTAGCTCATCTAGTTGGCGGCCCATTTAAGGCACACAGTGTGAACTTTTATTTATGTTTTTAAAATATGTGATAATTTGAGCTCCTTTTCTCCTGTTTACGTATGGAAGTAAAATAATAAAAAATGTTTTTGAAAACAAAAAAGCTTGTTGAATTGCACTCCTGGAAAACATATGCATTGCATTAATAAACCTGCTTGCATTTTAATGGGCTGAAATCAACACGGTTGTATATTTAAGCTGTGAATATTTAATTTCTCACACGTTTCCATTAATAAAAATGCAATAATCCATATTCACCTTTCAGATTTCACTTCCAAAATATTAATTCTGTTTAAAAACACAGCCTATAATATTCGACGACAGGCATTATAAATTCGCTTCCACAAATTCAACAGAAAAATACAATGCATTAAAAAGCAAGCAGGTTTATTAATGCAATGCATATTTTTTTCCAAGTTGTGCAATTCAACAAGCTTTTTTGTTTTCAAAAACATTTATTATTTTACATCCATATTTACGCTGCTATTTTTCATGCATTGAAAGCAGACGATGACAAAAACAAACAAATCAAAGGATCTTTATTTTCTCCTTGTGTTCCACTAAAGAAGGAAAAATAATAACAGATGCATGTGTGGAACAACATCGTCTGTGAGAATTCATATTTCTCTGTGAACGATCCTTTAATCATAAGGTGCAAAGATGACTCATGTTTTCTACGCAGCTTTTGTCCTCTTACAAGTTAAGTCCACCTTATGTAACCAGATCATGGGTCGCGTCGGAGGTTAAAGAGAGAATCTGTTACTGGACTGGAAGTCTTCATGCATGTGATGCATTGCATTAAATATGGGTTCCAACCACTCGGTTTCTGGATTGGGTCGCCTGTATTTGCTGTCCAATACAAATTTCAGTTCAATCTGGAAGCAAAACTAGCTGAAAAACCCTGAAATGTATCACTTTAAAGATACAAAATGTAATATTTTCCGCCGCTAGGGGTCGCTAACCGCTTACGATAACAAAGGCGTAGGTTGATGACGCATAAGCGGAATTATGGAACTTGTCGTCATGCCGACGGATCTAATAATGTTTATGGATGAGTGAATACATTGATGTTTTTATCATGACTGTAGTGAAGCAGAGCGCGAGTGCTAATGAGAGACGTATACCAGCGCCACACGCAACGCGAGTCCCGCGGATATTAGGAATAAGACATTTAATTCTACCGAGCTACACGCAAGTGCTGAATAATACACACACAGGTCAGTTTATTAGACGAATGAAGCTTGTGAGGGAACGCAGCGCTGCTTCACTTGCTCTACACTATCACTAAACTACATTTGAGTGTGTTAATGTTATTCTATGTGTTAGTTTGTCTGTATGAGACTAGCAGTGAGCTGGATCAACATTAGAATAACATACTGATCATATTCTAACATTTCATCATGTTGAGCTATATAACATTGATTAGTTTTATGTACATTCGCTCACCTGTCTAATAAAGTACATGTAAGAGCGGCGTCTCTGTCGAGTCGAAGTTAGCCGCGGACGCTAGCTCTCGGCATCTCGAAAACGCCACGCTGATATTGATCCTCCTTTTAGTTCTCCTTTTGTCCCAAAGTCTGCTTGCCGTGATCCATAATGTTTGAACGAATTACAACCGCGTGAGCGCGCCGCAACGCTGTTGTCCACGTCTGTCGCCATGGTTACTACGGCAGTACGAGCGGAAACCAGGGATAACGCGGATATAAGTGAACAGGTTTTCCGGGACGGCCAATTATTTAAAATTGGACTTTCTCTGAAATTCAAAATCTTTGGGAACTTTTGGGATATTGTAAGTGCACAACTGCAGGAAATATATTGTGATTTTTATTGTGAATATATCCAGTGATTTTTGGATATTTTATTAAAAAAATCTTACATATTGTGAATATAATGTATAATAATGCATATTTGTGTGTCCTGATAATGCCAAATGTCTTGTTACCAGTAAAAGTGGCCTACATTATTTTAAATATATTTACGCAGTGAAAGAGTGCAAGCATTCGTCTAAAATAATTATATTTTCAGCTTCAGGATCATGAATATTGTTATTCTGGTGTCTCTATTGTTCATTGGGTTCAAGTCCAAGTCTATTCATTTACACACACCATGTAATATCAAATTTAGCATTTTAATCAACAGGAGTTTTTTGTTCATCTTTTATCATGTGTCTTGGAGTATCGCAGTAATATGGTGTGGTGATGTGTGTCGGATCGTGACATTACCCGTACTGATGCCACGTGTGTAACGCGTCTCAACACGCGGTAGTGAGTTAATAAAGCAGGAGATTACTGCGTCTCTGTGGCGCTGGGTTTCTGCTGTAATCCCTGCTCTTATCTTGAACAGAACGACTCTGATCTCAATATAGACCCATGTGTTTTTACCTGCGTCTCTGGCATTATGGGATTGCTCACACGTTGTTTACACGCTGTGTGTGTCAGGGTTCATACAAGATGCTTAAAGAACTTGAATTTGACTTTTTTAAATGTAATTCCTGGAAAACCCTTGAAAACAGCCATATTTACGAAGAGGTGCTTTAAAAGTGCTTGAATACAATATATATGAAATTTTTATTTTTTCGAAAAAAATATATGAAGTACACCAACATTATATTATAAAATATTATTTATTGAATAATACTAGCATTATAAACTTTGTATTTAATGTATGATGTTGTGTTTTGGATACCTTATATCTGTAATATGAGTTCTTAAATACTCAAGATATTGTGCGATCTCTGATTATGAACCAAAAAAGTTGTGCTTAAAGTTTAAGTTTATTTTCATTTTACAGTTTCTGTACGAACCCTGGTTTGTGAATTAGTGTTTCTCACACTCATATCGGTCGATCACTTAATATAAATATATTTTTATTTTCGCTTATTTATATAGGCTATACATTGGCTGGGATTTAAATATTTAAAATAAATGCCTAGCTCTGCATAACAAAATAAAAAAAAATGCTTTTTGTCTTATTGGAGGCCTTTGCATGCTAACAAGTAAAGTTGTTCAAATAAATTAGTCTATTTAAATTAGTGCTGGGCAACGATTAATCGCATCCAAAATAAAAGTTTGTGTTTACATAATATATGTGTATGTGCTGTGTATAATTATTTTGTATATATAAATACACACACATGCATGTATACTGTATATTTAAGAAAAATGTGTTTATTTATATATATAAATATATACACATGCAAATATTTCTTATATATATATACACTACCGTTCAAAAGTTTGGGGTCGGTACGATTTTAAATACTTTTAAAAGAATTCTCTTCTGCTAACCATGGCTGCGCTTATTTGATTAAAAATACAACAAAAATCAGTTCTAGTATTAAATATTATTCCAGTGTAAATCAGCTGTTTTCTGTGTGAATATATAGTAAAGTGTAATTTATTCCTGTGATCAAAGCTGAATTTTCAGCATCACCAGTGTCAGTGTCTTCAGTGTCAAATGATCCTTCACAAATCAGTATAATATGAGGATTTGATGCTCAAGAAACATTTATTATTATTATCAATGTTGAAACAGTTGTTGGTCTGTCAGTTGTACAGTTTTTTTTGTTTTTTTTTAGGATTCTTTGATGAATAGGAAGTTCAAAAGACTTTTGTAACATTATAAATGTCTTTACTGTCACTTTCGATCAAATTAATTATTCCTTGATAAATAAAAGTATTGATTTCTTTCCTCCAAAAAATAAAAATAAAATTCTCACTGACCCCAAACTTTTGAACGGTAGTGTATATATATATATATATATATATATATATATAATATATATATATATATATATAATATATACAGATAAAACTGCTCAATGTCAGTAAATTTTTGGGAATAAAGACAATAGTAGGGACAAGTAAAATACAGGGGCCGGTTTCACAAAGCTATTTTAGACCGTTCTATAGTGTTAGACAAGTCTAAAATGTGCTTATAGACTAGCCTAATGCAAGTTAGACTGTTTCACAAAAATAAAGACGGACTTAATTTAGACCAAAAAAATTAGACACCTTAGGCTAACTTATGTCTAAGACTCTGTTACCGTGGCAACCAGCAGTGACAATCAGTTACACTACAAACAGCCGAAAGAAAACATAGGCGATAATCTTTGTCCAAATTACACATTTCTTCTTGTTACTGCATTCTCCGCTAAATTTGCCCAGTAAAATGTCCTTGTGACTGTTACACTCCTCCAACACACACACATATCTCCCGCTGGGGTAAACTGCACCGAGCGGTTGAATGCGCTCACTCGATCCGCCATTTCTTTTGTTTTGAAAAGTGTCTTATTTTTCTTGTAGGTGGTGTTGGTGAGGTGGAACGAACCCTTCCAGAAGCTGGCGACCTGTGACACGGACGGGGGGATATTCGTGTGGATCCAGTACGAGGGCCGCTGGTCTGTAGAGCTGGTCAATGACCGAGGAGCGCAGGTGAGGCTAAGACCATCATCAAGCTCACCTTCACGGTTCGCCCACACATGATTCATGTGCTGTACCCATAGACTGTAAAAAAATATGGACGTAGTATCCGTGACGTCACCCGTAGGTTTCTGAAGAGCGTTTTTGAAGCCTAAAGTGGGCGGGGCTAACCGTCGCCATCTTGGCAGCGCGTCACCTCTCGTCACTACCGGATAAAATAAAATGGGCAAAGAGGCGGATCGTGGGTGGAGCAGAGGTGCTAATGCTATATGCTACTGGCCTCGCGCTAAAGTGACAGCTGATTGAAGATTAAAGCCAATAGTTAAAGTTCATTTTTTTGCCTTTTGAAATATTATAATAGTTAAAAGACGTAACTAAAAGTGAGACTATTTACTTTACTTTTTTTTCTCAACTTTATTAATCCCAAAAGGGGCAATTAGTTAAGAGCATGTAGGCTATACAACAGTACATAACACAGATCACACACATTTCTCACAACATACAAGCAGTCAACTATGTGTATCGTAATGCATTATTATTCTGCTAGTTAAAAATGTATTATCATGCAGACAGTTACTTACAATATTGCTCTGAGCTTGTGCGTGTGACAGTGATTCATGCACATACATGTCAGTCAGCATGGCATCGCACGTCAAGTTCGTAAAAGAGCTTTATTCAGTCTTATTTTCATCTGATATCATCTGATTTGGGCCGCCTCTCAATTTCTCAGATGGGTTAAACCAGCTTTTAAACCAGCAATTAAAGATTTTACCTCAGAAGTTCAGTAAATGCACTAGAAATCCGCGCTCATTTAAGTGTGCATGGACGAAGAGAAAGCTCTGACACTTGCAGGATTCTGACGGTACTTTTTATTTTACACTACAAAGTTAAAAAAGTAATCTGTTCCGTGAGAGCAACAGTACCGCATAATGAGTGTGGTCTCTATATCTACAGACGTTTTTAAATCTAAACTCAAAAAAGCAATGAAATTGTCAGACATCCAGATTAGTGCATGCGAGGGAAACAACTGGAAATACAGCGCTGGTTGTTCTCTCCATCCTCGACAACGACGGAATCCAACGGCGTGCATGGGCGAAGGTATAATACGTGTATTCAATTGTATGAAATAATCCCGAAAAAAGCACAAACACAGCTGAGGGTGACGCTAACAGACAGCAGACAAACGACTAGCAGTGAAAGCAGCGGCAATCCACCTGTCACTCAAGTGGCCACGCCCTTAATTATGCAGAACTTTAAGGCTTAATATAATTTCAACGGATGAGTTGTAAAAAAAATTCACCCCCCTCACAGTCGTTATGAAGGGCAAAATTAGCGATATAGACCAAAACAACTATTTGCCACCAGGCTGTAAACATGTTTTTTTCTGCTGTGAAGTGAGGCATTTTAACATGGGGGAGATGCAGATTTGACTCGTTTTTGCAGTCAGCCTCAAGCGGCCACTCGATGAATTGCAGTTTAATTCACTTCCGTGTTGGTTTCAAGAGAGAGACGGGGAGGTTGCCGCTTGGCTGTACCTCATTGACCCGTCGCAGGGAGTTTGATTGACAGGCGATCTGACCAATCATAATCCGCCATCCGCCGAATCCGCCATTTTTGTCCGACAAAGCCTTCTGGAGAGTTAGTAGATTAACGTTGGAGGATTTGAACTTGATAAACGTGTGTAGTGACGTCTCTCCGCGGTTAAAACAACATTCCTTCTGATGTTCATTCATGTTTGTTTATTTTACACATTAAACGGCCACAAAACGGTATTTATTGTTTAAATTTCTCTAAAAAATGACCAAATTTGAAAGTTCAGACTTTGTTTCATATCAAAAGTCCTGTCTGTCAGTGTGTGTCCTCTCTGCTCCGCGATGTGTGTTTCACTGTGTGTGTGAGAGAGGCGTGGCTTGTCGGACATAGCAACAGTAACTAAAGGGGGCGGGTCTTTGCGAACGGTCAATTTGCTGTTGAATTAATGATAAACAGTGACATCACGGTTTTCTCCAGAGCGGCTATATATATATGAATTAACTTTTTACAACAAAAATGAAACTTACTTAAGCTGGACTGTGACACTATTTTCTTCTAGACACAAACATTATTTTGCTGTTGTCACTGAAGCGATCTGTATTGTATAAAGCGCTGTGTGAATAAAGGTGGCTTGACTGTTCCTGCGCAGGTGAGTGACTTCACCTGGTCACATGACGGCACGCAGGCGCTGATCTCCTACCGGGACGGTTTCGTGCTGGTCGGGTCGGTGAGCGGGCAGCGCCACTGGTCCTCTGAAATCAACCTGGAGAGTCAGATCACATGTGGGATCTGGACCCCCGACGACCAGCAGGTAACGGACGACCTCTGACCTTTCAGTAGGGCTCTGTGAACGAAATCTGCTTTATTTTCCCCCCAAAAAACCCACATTTTTTATTTGATTCTGTTTGAATGTTTTTGGATTCCATTTTATATTAAATTTAAAATGAATCAAAAAGCACGTCTAATTAATTAAAATCATGCAATTTAACAACAATTTAATTAATCAAAAAACATGTCTAATTAAAATCATGCAATTTAACAACAATTTAATTAATCAAAAAACATGTCTAATTAAAATCATGCAATTTAAGAACAATTTAATTAATCAGAAAACATCTAATTAAAATCATGCAACTTATGCAATTTAACAACAATTTAATTAATCAAAAAGCATGTCTAATTAATTAAAATCATGAAACTTATGCTATTTAACATCAATTTCATTAATTAATAAAAGTTATAAACATAAAAATAGGGCTCTATGAAATCTGCTATATATATATACACTCACCGGCCACTTTATTAGGTACACCTGTCCAACTGCTCGTTAACACTTAATTTCTAAGCAGCCAATCACATGGCGGCAACTCAGTGCATTTAGGCATGTAGACATGGTCAAGACAATCTCCTGCAGTTCAAACCGAGCATCAGTATGGGGAAGAAAGTTGATTTGAGTGACTTTGAACGTGGCATGATTGTTGGTGCCAGAAGGGCTGGTCTGAGTATTTCAGAAACTGCTAATCTACTGGGATTTTCACGCACAACCATCTCTAGGGTTTACAGAGAATGGTCCGAAAAAGAAAAAACATCCAGTGAGCGGCAGTTCTGTGGGCGGAAATGCCTTGTTGATGCCAGAGGTCAGAGGAGAATGGCCAGACTGGTTCGAGCTGATAGAAGGGCAACAGTGACTGAAATAACCACTCGTTACAACCGAGGTATGCAGCAAAGCATTTGTGAAGCCACAACACCCACAACCTTGAGGCGGATGGGCTACAACAGCAGAAGACTCCACCGGGGACCACTCATCTCCACTACAAATAAGAAAAAGAGGCTACAATTTGCAAGAGCTCACCAAAATTGAACAGTTGAAGACTGGAAAAATGTTGCCTGGTCTGATGAGTCTCGATTTCTGTTGAGACATTCAGATGTTAGAGTCAGAATTTGGCGTAAACAGAATGAGAACATGGATCCATCATGCCTTGTTACCACTGTGCAGGCTAGTGGTGGTGGTGTAATGGTGTGGGGGATGTTTTCCTGGCACACTTTAGGCCCCTTAGTGCCAATTGGGCATCGTTTAAATGCCACGGCCTACCTGAGCATTGTTTCTGACCATGTCCATCCCTTTATGGCCACCATGTACCCATCCTCTGATGGCTACTTCCACCATGTCACAAAGCTCTAATCATTTCAAATTGGTTTCTTGAACATGACAATGAGTTCACTGTACTAAAATGGCCTCCACAGTCACCAGATCTCAACCCAATAGAGCATCTTTGGGATGTGGTGGAAAGGGAGATTCGCATCATGGATGTGCAGCCGACAAATCTGCGGCAACTGTGTGATGCCATCATGTCAATATGGACCAAACTCCCTGAGGAATGCTTCCAGCACCTTGTTGAATCTATGCCACGAAGAATTGAGGCAGTTCTGAAGGCAAAAGGGGGTCCAACCCGTTACTAGCATGGGGTACCTAATAAAGTGGCCGGTGAGTGTATATATGTGTGTGTATGTTTAATTCAGTTTTAATAATCAAAATACACGTCTAATAAATTGAAATCATGCAATTCATTCAGTTTAACAGCAATTTATTAAAAGGTTAAGGAAAATTACATTTTTGGGCCCTATTAATTTCATATTTTATGTGTTTTCTGTTTTAATTTCTGTGAATAACATTTTCATGGTTAAACTAAATTTTTATAATCAAAATGTCTTTATTGACTTAATTCTATATATATATATATATATATATATATATATATATATATATATATATTTTTTTTTTTTTTTTTACAATAATGAAATGTTTTATTTTTTCATAAATTCGCTATTATTGCCTGTTTTTATTTTTCTAGATTCGATTTAATACACATTTATTCTCAAAAACGGTCAATTGAATCAATCTTTGGAACTGTAACTGTGTTTGGTGCGTCTCCTCAGGTGTTGTTCGGCACGGCGGACGGTCAGGTGATCGTCATGGACTGTCACGGGCGCATGCTGGCTCATATTCTCCTCCACGAGGCCGAGGGCATCGCCAGCATGGCCTGGAACTATCCCAGCTTCCTCGTGGAGGACAGCAGCGAGAGCGACACGGACTCCGATGAGTACACACCTCTGCAGGGTAACACCGGATCACGAGCCCTATTAGACCCCCTGAAATCAAAATTGAAATTTTTTTAGCTCTTAGTATGAATATGTTAGCCGTAATGTTATGAATAATCTGGTGTGCTCCAAAACAATCACAAAATGCGCATTTAGGAGATATAAGCATTCAAAGCTTAGTCACTTCCACTAAAATGGATCCCGGATTTTTATCACATCTTCTGTCCAATCAAAAGCTCTCTAGAATCTGAAGCTCCGCCCCCTCTGCTATAAACACGTTTTAAACATAAAAGGCTAAAAGTTTTTGAACTGTTCAGTGTGTGAGGTAATTAAAGCGGCAAACACACGCGAGCTGTTGTAGCTCCGCCCCCTGTGCCGAGAGCAGCAGCTCATTTGCATTTAAAGGGACACACGCACACAACAACTGTTTTTGCTCACCCTCAAAAAGTGACACTTTTAACATGCTATATAAAAATATCTGTGGGGTATTTTGAGCTCAAACTTCACACACACACACTCTGAGGACATCAGACTTATTTTACATCTTGTGACAAACGGCGTTATACCGCCGTCGTAGGAGAAGTCACACAGCAGGACTACGAAATGATTTGATCGCGTTAATCGGCTGTCGGTGAACACGTCAAACTAACGAGCAAAGACTTCAGATTTTAGCCTAGGATCTGAGGAATCTTTTAGGATTTGCAAAATTAGTCTCAGACGGCCAAATCGTGGTTAAAGTGTGCACCCGCCCGGCTTTAGTCACTAAATAATCCATTTTTACAGCTCACCTCGGGACGCATATTGATTTTGAGCTTATGCTGGGAGTGTTAAAGTGCAGTCAAGGGAAGAGATTTATAATCGTACGGCCTCTTCGTTTATTACAAGCATATAAAACAAACCATTAGTGCAATAATGTTCTAGTCCTTTTCAGGCTGTAGTTTCCCTTGTAAATAATGCAGATGTACAACTGTGATTTTAGTTTTATTAATAATTAAAGTAGCTTTTAGTTTTATAGATCGGTGCATCCCTAGTTAACAACAATAACCCTGTCTTTTTTTTTTTTTTTTTTTGTGATAACTTTTTTCATTATTGAGCAATACATTTTTACAGTATTTATTAGTCTTTGTTAATATTAGTTAAAAAAAAAACAGCTGTTCATTGTTTGTTCACAGTGCATTAACTAATGCTAGCAAGATTTTAATAAAGTATTAGTAAATGTTGAAATTAACATTAACAAAGATTAATAAATGCTGTATACGTGCAGTTCATGCTAACTAATGCACCTTATTGTAAAGTGTTACCGTTTACTTTAGAAAACATAAAAATCAGAAGGGAACACAGTCTGTGCATCTCTAGTTAGTAACAATAACCCTATAAATTAGCAATAAAAACACTCAAACCAACACATTGTGAAGGAACGACCCCTAAAGCAGCCTTTCCTCTGCAGGTCACAGTCTGAAGCCGGTGTTGACCGTCTGCTTCACGTCTGGAGACATCAGTCTGATGAGCAACTATGATGACCTCTCGCCGACGTTAATACGCACTGGCCTCAAAGGTTCTTCTTTATACATTTCATCTATTTATTTAGTCTTCGGTAGAGTTGCTTTACGGCAGAACTTATATTTGATGATGAAGTTTGCATCAATGATTTTGTTATTTTACTGTTTCTTACTGTGAAGCTGCTTTGAAACAATCTGTTGTCTAAGAGAACAGAGAATGATGTCTATTAAAATGCAAATTAAATATGTGAATGATCGTTGTTACTTGCTATTTTTTAAAGTGCCCCTATTTTGCTATTTTAAAGCTTCCTAATTGTGTTCCCACAGTGTGTTCACATGCATCCAAGATCAAAAAACACTTTAATTTTCTAATATCTATTGCAGCATCGCCTCATTTTCTCTCAGTGTCTGAAACGCTTCGTTCGGAGATTCAGCCTCTCTAAGCCCCGCCTCTCTGAGAGCTGCTCTGCTGTGATTGGTCAGAGAGCAAACGCTCATTATCATATCTGACTCTCAGCTAACTAACGATGGCGTGGGTTTCACCGTCTCAATCTCAGAAAACAGCGTCTCCTCGACACGAGCCGAACTCTCCCAGTCTCAGATACACTACAGTGTTTGAGGGCGGAGCTAAGAGACGCTGCTCAGCCAATCAGGACCAGAGGCGGGGATTATGCAAATTAGCTACATGTGAGACTGGAATTACTGACTCGTTTCAGCAGATCAGAATCGCTTCTTTCTTTTAGGAGACTAACTTTATTTGATCTTTGAATCTTTGCAAACCTTTTACATTCACAACTGCATGAAAGGGGCACTTTAAATGTTTTTACTGATGATAAAATTATGTATAAAGTACTTTTTTCTATACAAAAGTAATGTGTGTGTGTGTGTGTGTGTGTCAGATGTGGTCGTGCAGTGGTGCTCTCAGGGCGACTTGCTGGCTGTTACTGGGATGGAGAGACTCGTAATGACCTCTGACCCTTCCCAAATGACCCGAAATGCCATTGTGAAGTTTTACAATGTTAGTGGTGAAAATATTTATTCACTGGAAACACCTGCTCAGGTGAGTGTTTGCTCTTATAAACACACACACCCTTTACACTGACTGTAATAAAGCATTCATTCAAGAATGAGGCAGCTGTTCATGAACAAGTCATTGAATCTTTGACTCAACCGATTCATTCTAGAATAAGGCAGTTGTTTATGAATGAGTCATTGAATCTTTGACTCATCCGATTCATTCAAGAATGAGGCGGCAGTTCATGAATGAGTCATTGAATCTTTGACTCAACCGATTCATTCAAGAATGAGGCAGTTGTTTATGAAAAGGTCATTGAATCTTTGACTCATCCGATTCATTCAAGAATGAGGCAGTTGTTTATGAACGAGTCATTGAATCTTTGACTCATCCGATTCATTCAAGAATGAGGCGGCAGTTCATGAATGAGTCATTGAATCTTTGACTCAACCGATTCATTCAAGAATGAGGCAGTTGTTTATGAAAAGGTCATTGAATCTTTGACTCATCCGATTCATTCAAGAATGAGGCAGTTGTTTATGAACGAGTCATTGATTCTTTGACTCAACCGATTCATTCAAGAATGAGGCAGTTGTTTATGAACGAGTCATTGAATCTTTGACTCAACCGATTCATTCAAGAATTAGGCAGTTGTTTATGAAAAGGTCATTGAATCTTTGACTCATCCGATTCATTCAAGAATGAGGCAGTTGTTTATGAACGAGTCATTGATTCTTTGACTCAACCGATTCATTCAAGAATGAGGCAGTTGTTTATGAACGAGTCATTGAATCTTTGACTCAACCGATTCATTCAAAATGCTGAATCATTCAGTAATGAAAACACGGTTGCTGTGAGATGCGTTATGATTCTGCTGCGATCTTTAAGAATTATTTGTGGTTTGACTGTATACTCATGTGTTTCTGCACGTGTATCCAGAGGCCGATCAGTACGCTGTGTTGGGGCCATCGAGACTCGCGTCTGTTTCTGGCTTGTGGCCCGGCGCTGTACGTGCTTCGAGTCGAACACCGAGTCGCCAGCCTGCAGATGCTGTGCCAAAAGGCCATCGCCAGTGCGGTTCACGAGGAGAAAGACGTGGCCAAGCTCAGCATGCCCTCTCGCCTAAGCACATACGTGTCTTCTGCCTTCGCTCCCACCGTTAAGGTACAAACTGAACATCACATAAGCACTGCAAAGAATGCTCTTCTTACTTAGTATTTTTGTCTTGTTTCCAGTGCAAATATAAAAAAATTCTGCTTTTACTAGATAAGTAAAATGACATAAGAAATCATGTCCTGTTTTCCGGGGGAATTAATCAAAATTGAGTGAGTCGATGCTTAAAAAAAGCAAAATTATCTGCCAATGGGGTAACAAAAATAATGTTAATTTAAACAGAAACAGAGAATTTTGCCTGTTTTAAGGTTGTGTAGTTTATTCTGTATTTCAAGGACATTTTATGTGCAATAATATTTTAGGTTACACTTTATTTGGTAACACTTTATTTTACAGTGTCCTTGTTACATGTACTTACCATAGTAATAACAGTAAATTATGCATAATTACATGCAACTAACCCTCACCCAAACCCTAACCCTATAGTAAGCACATGTTGTTAATTATTATTACACAGTACTTAAATATATAATTACACTGTAACCGTGACACCTTAAAATAAAGTGTTACCATATTTTACTATTTATGTCCTACTAATTTATGCAGTTTTTATTATTTTATTAGTTGTCTATTCTAGTTTTATTGCTATTATGTTATTTATTGACGAAGCTGCTTAGACATACACCCTCGTTATTAATGTTTTTATCGGTTAATGTTTTTATCTTGTGTTTTGACCGGGACCTTAGTACTTAGCTTCGGTCCTTCGAAAAAATGTGTATGGAATGACAATAAAAGACCCTTGAGTAAATTAAATCGGTAACGCTTTACAATAAGGTTCATTAGTTAACATTAATGTATTAACTAACATGATCTAACCATGAGCAATACATTTGTTACTGTATTTGTTAAAGTTAGTTCACAGTGCATTAACTAATGTTAACAAGATTTTAATAAAGTATTAGTAAATGTTAAATGTTGTATTAGTGCAGTTCGGAAGTTAACTAATGAACCTTATTGTAAAGTGTTACCATTAAATCTTTGAATACTGGTTTCAGTAAAAAGTTATTTCTGATTTTATCACTTAATTTCAAGGAATATCCTTAACAATTGCGTCCCATTCTTCCATCTGTCTTTGTTTTTGTGGCACGCTTTCCTCCCTTTAGCCTCCCATCCCAGATCCCAACAACATGCGAGACTTTGTTAGTTATCCAACAACGGGTAACGAGCGTTTGCACTGCACCATGAAGCGCACCGAGGACAACCCTGAGGTCGGCGGCCCGTGCTACACTTTATATCTGGAGTATCTAGGAGGGCTTGTTCCTATTCTGAAAGGCCGGAGGATCAGCAAACTTCGCCCTGAATTCGTCATCATGGACCCAAAGACTGATGGGAAAACAGGTGTGTGTGTTTATACAAGTACATATGGTTGGTTTTGACCGACTGTACCAAAATGTACCCCTTTTTATTTACAAGACATGTGGAATTCTTATACTAAATGTGATATCTGTAATTGTGTGATGTATTTTGTTTATGTGGAGAAAATCAAACTAAAGTAAGCAGAGAAAAAAATGCTCGTTTCTTTATCACAGATGAAGTCTATGGCAACAACTTCATCCCCTCCATGATTGACAGCTGCAATTGCTCAGATTCTAGTGACATTGAGCTCAACGATGATTGGGTTGGAAAGAAATCACCAAAGATCTCCAGAGGGAGCAAGTCTCCCAAACTTCCCAGGTAATGCATGTTATTTAGATTTGTGAGAACATTGTTAGACCGGATTGCTTTTCTTAAAGTCCCCCTGTAGTCAATAATTGTATCCTTTAAAACTCATCTTTGATCACCAAAATGACATATTTAGTCTTCACGCCTTAAAACAGCTTGAGTTTAACTCGTGCCTCATTTAGTATGCGCGGTTCTATGAATATGCAAATGAGCCCCGCCTCCACTCACTCACTCAGCTCAGAGATCCACTGGTTGATCATCACACGTTGATCTGATTGGTTACAAGCTCGTTTTGTGACGTCAGAAACACCAGCGATTTCAAACCGTGTTTTTGAGACTGTCTTTTACTGCAGTTTTAAGGAGAACATGCTGTTGACTTATTTACACATGATTTGTCTTAAGCATATTAAAAACACCACATAAACAACATTAAACGCTTGATTTTCACCACAGGGGGACTTTAACTTATATAAGTAGTATTGATACTTGATATGGCTAAGCATTGATAATTTCATTGAGATGCAAAAACATGATCATTTGCAATCACTTGTAACAATAAATGAATCCTGCTCTCCTAAAATAAAGTGTATCTGAGTAGCGTGAAGCTTCAGAATTGCATAAGAAACACTGTTGTACTGCATGCTGCTACAAACTCACCTTGAACTCTTCTCTTCGTTTGCTACCTTCTCTGTAGAGACTTAGTGTGTCCCTTTACCAACAGGATAAATATAGATCCCCGCAAGTCCCCCAAGATCTCCCGAACCACGCAGGAAATATCCCGATCGCCACGGTTACCCATTCGCAAGCCCTCCATTGGCTCTCCGAGTCTGACCCGGCGAGAGTTTCCCCTAGATGACATCACACAGGTACTGCATTTTTTTTAGTTATACACCACATTTTGTAAAAACATCTCTATATGAATGTTTCCCTCTTAATATTTATGTCTCCTTGCTTTGTAGCACAATTATCTCGCGCAAGTTACGTCTAACATATGGGGAACAAAGTTCAAAATTGTGGGGCTTGCAGCATTTTTGCCTGCAAATCTTGGTGCAGGTATTGTATTTTTTCAGTAATATGAACCACAAGATATGTGGTTATTAGGGGTGTAACAATATATCGTGTCACGATATATATCGACAATTTGTATCATGGATAGTTTACCCAAAATAAAAATTACAGTGTGATAAGTTTTATTAAACTACTATATATAATGTATACTAATGCAATGCCAAATGTCTGATGTTACCAGTAAAAAGTGGCCTATACATTATTTTAAATATATCTAGTCAGTGACAGAGCGCAAGCATATTCGACTAAAATAATTCTGTATTTTCAGCTTTAGAATCATGAATATTGTTATTCTGGTGTCTCTATTGTCCTGTGCATTGGGTTTCCAGCACCAAAGTCCAAGAATATTAATTTCCACCCCCAAATTAAGCATTTTAATCAACAGTACATTTTTTGTTAACCTTTTATCATATGTCTTGGAGTATCGCAATAATATCGTATCGTGACACAAGGGTATCGTTACACCCCTAGTGGTTATACAAAATTGACTTATACATCCCACTTTGCCTAATTTAATATATATTTCCGGTCTTACTAGTTATCTACAAGACTAGCTTGCTTCACCTCCAGCCCAGACAGATGACCATATACCTCCCTGAGGTGAGGAAGATCTCAGTGGAATACATTAACCTACCTATGTTTAGTCCTAATGTCTTCAGTGAGGATGAGGATGACCTGCCGGTCACAGGAGCATCAGGAATCACTGATGATAATCCAACTTGCACTGTCAACATACCTATTGCCCCCATACACAGCCCTGCCCAAGCCATGTCCCCAACACAAAGCATCGGCCTAGTCCAATCCCTACTAGCCAATCAAAACGTCCAATTAGATGTATTATCCAATCCGACTTCAACTGTGGCACCACCTGGAGTCCCAGACCAAGGACAGCAGGACAATGTGCTCACGGCAAAATATACCGTTCCTGCACGGTATTCTAGTCCTGGACAGGTAATATTTGGAGGAATGGATGTTGGTCGGCTTTTAGTTGTGCAGTCCCAACAACAACAGCAATCGCAACAACAACAACATCAGTTGCAACAACATTATCAACAACAGCAGCTACAGCAACAGCTTCAACAATATCAACTGCAGCAACAACAGTTATTGCAGCATCAGCACATGCAACAACAGCAACAGCAACACATGCAACAGCAAATCCAACAGATGCAGCAGCAACAGCAAATGCAGCAACAGCTTCAGCATCAAATCCAACAGCAACACATGCAAATGCAACTTCAGCTACAGCACCAGCAGATGCAGCAGCAGTTGCAACAACAGCAGCAGCAGCATCAGATCCAAATCCCCGTTCCAACTTTGCCCTCAGGTCAACCATCAAACCCAGTCATTCAACTTCCCCAAACTACAATACAAGTCGCTCCCCCTTCAGCAGAGCACAGTACAGAGCGGGTGGAGCACGAGCTCCTGCTTAAAATCAAAACGACTCGTTCTGCCCCACAACTGGCTGAGGGTGATGCAGTGGTTTTTACCGCCCCTCTTGAGATTAGCAAAATGAACCCGCCTCCTCCGTACCCCGGCACGGTTTCAGCCGTTTCTTCTACGAACTCCTCCTCATCGGGGAGCAACACTAGCACTCAATCCTCAGGGGACGTTTGTCTAAAGAAAGGGGATCTGACTCTGTATCCAACTGGTGCACAAGCAACTCAGTACCAAACCCCATTGGGATACGAACGCATCACCACGTTTGACAGCAGTGGAAATGTGGAGGAGGTGTGCCGTCCGCGCACGAGACTAGTTTGCAACCAGAATGTTTACACGCTTCAGGGCCCGGGAAGCTCTGCAACCCTCAGGGTCTCGTCATCTTCCTCTACTGTTGACGGGAAGAAGGTGCAAATGCCCTACGCCTCAGCCACGTTAAACCGTCTCACTGTGCCAAGGTACTCTATACCAAGCGGAGACCCGCCTCCTTACCCTGACTCAGCCAATCAGGTTGGAGGAGGGCGTAACCCTGGCCAGAGATTGGACAGCAGTTTGATTCATGCTACCTTGAGGCGAAACAGTCGGGAAGCTGCGCTAAAGGTCTCCCAGATGCTTGATCCCCAGAGGACTCTTCCCTCCAAGGCTAAAGCTAATACCTTGTCCGCTTCGTACCAACCGAGAGGACCGACGGCTCTTTATACGTGCAGTCAGTGCAGTAGTAATAATGGGATTAGCAGTGGGGCTTCCAGCAGTGGGAGTAATGGAATAGCTGGTGGGACAATCATTAGACAAGATTTCCCACCTTCAGGGGGTGGTGCGCCTCACAGCACTGTTATAGTGCACTCAAACAGTGCCTCGCCTTTGCCTTCCCAATCCTCCTACAATTTGCTCAGTATGGATGGAACCGGTGGCAATGGAAACCGAGACAGAACTGAGTACATCAACTCCGCCTTTACAGAGGACGAGTCGTTGAATCAGTCTCTAAGGCAAATGGCTCTTAACACAGAGGTTGTGAGTTTGACAGTCAAACGGCCTCCTCCGTATCAATGGGATCCATCCGCTACTGAAGAGATCTGGGTTCCTCAAGAGCGTACGCCGACTCTTCCCCCTTCTGGAGTCCCTCCTGCTTCTTCCCACAAGCCTCCTCCACTCGTTCTCAGCCCCGCACAACATCTGGATGTTTCCCGACTCCCGTTTGTCCTCTCGCCCAAGTCTCCGACAAGTCCTAATGTCACAACTTTCCAACAAGCAGGAGCGTATCAGATTGCATTGCCCTATCCAACAAGTGCAGGGTATAACGCTCCCCCGTTAGCTTCTCCACGTCCCCAATCTCCCAAAGAGTTGGTCGCTCCTCTTCCCTTCTCCCAGCAAGATCAAGCTGTGGTCTTGCCGCCTGGGTATCCGCCAAATTTGCCTAACCTTGCTTGCTTCCCACCAATGTACCCTGGGACGACGACTTGTTCTAGTTTACCGGTGACTCCCATTTCTCTTCATCCATGGGGTTCTTATAATCCCTGTCCACCTTTGCCAAGTCCTCAAGGTCCTGCTCCTTCCCTTCCACCAAAGACTTCCCATATGTTGGATAAACCTGTTCTTTCTCCTCCTCCTCAACCACCTCCACTTTCTTCGCCACCTCCAGATCCCCAAAATGTGGTCAGTCCTCCGGAAGCTATTGCTGAAGCCGGGGAAGGCTTTCAAGAAGTGCTTTCGCTCAACGAAAGCCCGGTTCCTCAAAGAGCAGATCGGTTTGGGAAGAAGAACCGAAAGCGGTTGGAAAACAGTCGGACAGATGAAGCCAACGTTCCCGCAATCACAGAAGGAGGAGGGAATAAGTCTAAAAAAGAGGGTCGTGCCCTTGGTGACTTCAACTCGCTTATCTCAAGTCCCAGATTAGGTGGACGAGACAAGAAGAAACCAAAAGGCCAGAAAGAGCAGCTGAAAGCCAAAAAGCTAAGCAAGGCCACTACGAACGAGTTCCAGGACAGTTCGGAAAGCGAACCGGAGCTTTTCATCAGCGGAGATGAGCTGATGAACCAGAGCCAGAGCGGGAAAAAGAGCTGGAAAACGAAAAGAAACTTGCGTGCGGGAGGATGCGAGCTGGACGAAATCAAATGCCGGAAGGCTAACGAGAAGGAGGACCGTGGGCTCGGGAGCCAGGGGTTCGTCTACATCATGGCAAACAAACAGCCTCTGTGGAACGAAGCCACGCAGGTTTACCAGCTGGACTTTGGAGGAAGAGTCACGCAGGAATCGGCCAAGAACTTCCAGATTGAGCTCGAGGGGAGACAGGTACACAACACATCTATTGCAGGACTCGACATTAACGCTTGTCCGATTGTCCGGGACAAGTGGATTTTTTTTTTTGATTTGGCAACTTAAAGAGAATTTGACTTGCCCGACCGGACAAGTAGCCTGATTAATCGATTAATCGCATCCAAAATAAAAGTTTACATAATATGTGTGTGTACGGTGTGTAATTATGTTGTTTATATAAATACACACACATGGATGTACAGTATTTATTTAAGAAATATTTGCATGTGTATATATATTTATACATCATTTATATTATCTATAAATTAGGGCTGTTAAAGTTAAATGCGTTATTAACAGCGTTAACGCCAACCCATTTTAACGGCGTAAATTTTTTTATCGGGCGATTAGCGGTCTTTTTGGCCTAGCAAACTTTGTAGCTGCACTATGAAACCCATTCATTTCAATGGCTTGTGCCGCGCGAGGACGTTTTGTTGCTTCGTCGACCAAAGCACAAGCGGATCTAGCTAGACCGGAAACAAAACAACAGGCGCGCCGATGTTGTTTTCAATAAAAAACATTTGCACAAAGCAAGCCGATCCACTTTTCCATGTTGATAAGAGCATTAAAATGAGAAAAAATAATGGGACAAAAAGAAATCAAGAGACATTTAGAATAGATAAAAATGTGCGATTAATCGCGAGTTAACTATGACATTAATGCGATTAATCGCGATTAAATATTTTAATCGTTTGACAGCACTAATATAAATATTTTATATATAAATAAAAAAATTCTTAAATATATACATGCGTGTGTGTGTGTGTGTGTTTTTATATACATAATATATGTGTGTGTACTGTGTATAATTATTATGTAAACACAAACTTTTATTTTGGATGCGATTAATCGTTGCCCAGCACAAAAAAAAAAAAAAACCTAAAGCGAATAAACTCTGATAATGTGAGAAATATTGAAGCTGTCTGAATAAATCTTGGTTTGACTGTAATCTAATTGAATGTATTGATCAAATGTATAGATATAGCATCTTATTTTGTCCGGACAAGCAACTTTTTCTACTTTCTCCTTGCACACCGAGTCCGAAATTTCCGCACGTTAAAAAATAAATACGACCTAACGTTAAATGTCAATCACGTTTGCACACACCGCCTCCGAAACTTTCGTCCGTCATAAAAAAAATCGTATCGGGTTCGATTTTCAGCGTTTTCCACATCCGTAGCAAGTATTATGAGAGGTGTTTTGACAATTCAGAGCCACCGAATGACGGACGCATACGAAACTCGGACTCGGCGTGCAAGGACCTTGAATTGCCTTTTATACAAGCTTTAGATGCTGTTTCGTTTGCTAACTTTAGCCTATTTTGCTCCGTCTAGGTGATGCAGTTCGGACGGATCGACGGGAACGCGTACATACTGGACTTCCAGTATCCCTTCTCCGCCGTGCAAGCTTTTGCTGTAGCGCTCGCTAACGTCACCCAGCGCCTCAAGTGATCGCCCGGGCATGGACGTTTTAGCCAACAATACCATTTCTTTCCTTTGCTCTCTAGTTTTTTTGTTTTTTCCCAGTTTAAGATGCAGTACTAATACTTGAAAATTACATCTGGGAAGTAATTGCCACATTTTCCAAGTGTTAGCGGTACTACTGGGCACTGAAATCAATTGCTGTACAACATACTGTCATGTTACTAATTATGTTTTTGTGTTTGTTGCATAAGATACTAATGTTTGTCAAACTCATATCTAAACTCACTTCCAGGGACTGTGGTGCCCTTGGAGTTCGATTGCTAGCATCTGATTTAGATGCTTTTTGGCTTGCAGTCATAAAATGCATTTTATTAACGAATAGTAAGACTGAATATCCAGTCTTGTAGGATAGGATGGACTTGCTTTGGCAGACAGAAAACCCTGAATGAGCTCAACGGTCAAACCATTAATGCTGTGTTCATTAGCACTCGATGTTTTTTTAGAGAATAATTCCTCTTGAATGTTTTTGTTAATCACTATTAGTTCATCCACACTTTTTTTTTTTTTTTACTTGCCCTGCATGTCATTTTATATTTGACTTTTTTTCTCTCTTTTTTTTACCGTCTTCCTGATTATGCATATATTTCCTGCTAAGAATAGGTGGGTAAGATGTGCCAATCAGCTCACATCCCAAAAAAAAAAGAAAGTGACTGCCCCCTGCTGACGCTTCTGTGAAGTGATTTGTGTAATGGCTCTCAAAGCCACATTTAATCCACCTCAACATGTCCAAACAAACAAGCAACAGGAGATATTTTTCTACCGTCTTACAACAACGTCACTTCATACCTATTTTTTGTTTGTGTTTGTGCGACACGTTTTCTTATCAGTGCTAAGAATATCACAGTGTTAGATAAAAACCTTGTAGTACGATTAGAAATTCAGCTGTAGGTTTGAGGAACAGCAATGAGGAATAAATCATTCAGTACTGCACGACACATGGAGGATTATGAATATAGGGAGATGATTGATTGATTGATTGATTGATTGATATCAATAAAACAAGCAAGTGATAAAGAATACAGCATGAATAGACAAGTCCCAGAAGAGAGCGAATTCAATGCGCAGGTCATTACATTTCAATTTTTTAGTGGATCAGTCAGTGTTTTTGAAAGAGTTAGTCAGTATTCGTGATCGGAACCATTACAGCATAAACACATTGTATTTGTACGTACGTGTGTGTGTGTGTGTCTTATGTCTTCATAAAGAGTGGTTTTGTTTTGTTTTTGGGTTTTATTTGTTTTTGATTATTTTGGCCTGGATTCCCTTTCCGATTGTGAATTGAGAATTAGTTTGTGTTGAGTTTATTTATTTATTTATGTCTTGTTTGTTTAATTGTGCAATATTGTCAAGACTAATGCTTTCTTTATACCGTTGAACTTCTCAAGACGGCAGTTCATGATAAACACGTGCCGTTTAATCCACCTTTTGTAAGTGTGTGAACATTATTTATGTATAAAGGACTCTTCAGCTTGGTGTTGTGTGTGTGTGTGTGTGTGTGTGGGGATGGCGGTAGGTTTCAGTGTAATTTGCTCCTACGGTTTGAAGGTGATTGTGGTTAAGGTGTAGCTTGTAGTGAAGTGACCTTGGATGGGTTTGTCACGTGTGTGTTTTTGTGAATTAAAACCAGATCAGCACAAGCTTTACAATGAGAGACATGCTATTAAAACCCTCATCCTTCCCTCGGGTCATTGTGTCCTGAAAAAATGGTAAAAATTGAGTGTTCATCGGAGTGGTCCAAGACCCTGGGACTTTAGTCGCATTTGAACCACGAATACACACACACAAAAAATTAATTGATTCGAGTTTTGTGGTCAAAATATAAAAAAAGTAACAAAACTAAACAATTTGACCCCCATGGGAATGAATGGGATGCTTCAGTTCTCATAGAAAAACCTAAAAATGCTCAAAATTATGTTATAATGTCTACATGTGTATCTGAATGCATACTGAAGTGAGCTGACTTTAGGACCCAGCGGAACAGCTCCATACACAGGTGAAACTCGAAAAACTGGAATATGGTGCAAAAGTTAATTTATTTCAGTAATTCAACTTAAAAGGTGAAACTAATATATTATATAGACTCATTACATGCAAAGTGAGATATTTCAAGCCTTTATTTGTTATAATTGTGATGATTATGGCTTACAGATATGAAAACCTTTTCACAATATTCTACTTTTGAATTTGGGGTTTTCATAAGCTGTCAGCCATAATCATCACAATTATAACAAATAAAGGCTTGAAATATCTCACTTTGCATGTAATGAGTCTATATAATATATTAGTTTCACCTTTTAAGTTGAATTACTGAAATAAATGAACTTTTGCACCATATTCCAGTTTTTCCGAGTGTCACCTGTAGCGCTATAAGGCCATCTAGTCATGAAATATCATGTTATATTATTATTTTTCCACATGAGGTCGGCAAAGACATCCAATGTAAGATATTTAGAGCTGAATTAAAAGGGTTATGGCATGGAGTTATTTTGAATTTAAGTTGAAAAAATGTGAGGAATGTGCTTAAATTATGATTTATTTATTGATCTAATCTAGCAATTTAAAAGTAAAAAAAAATCCCAAAAAATTGCATTTAAAAAATAGAAGAAAAAAAAATTTAATAAAATAAGCTTTCTAAAAAATTTTTTTACAAAGTACAATTTTAGGGTTTCGGGTCATTTTGACCCGCGAGGGAAAGATGAGGGTTAAACTGTTACATCACATTCTCCATTTCCCCGTGTGTGTCTCGACCATTACTGATGTGATTGATGGACTTTACTGTACTATTATGTGCTTGGTATATTTGTAGGAATAGGTCATAAAGATGCTTTGGCGATGAAGGACAAGCGGACTGAATGTGTGCACTGAACGGCATGCTTGGTAAATGACTTGTTTTTTAAAGTACGGTGAGCATGGACTGGCTTCGGGATTGAAGACGCACGCCACAGTTCGTTGTAACTGCATCACATTCACGTTTGCTGAAATGTGTGTGTCCATTCTGTCTAAAATAAATGAAATACACCCATGATGCCCTTTGGTTTTGAGGTGAAAAGTCACGTGTGGACTTGTTTCAGA